GCTGCAGGACATGTTTGCTGTCAGAGACGAGCACCATTTCCGGAGTGATGACGCTCACAAAGTCTGCATTGCGGAGCACCTGCCCACTTGCTGATCATGCGCAACTTCGAGAAAAACGAGAGATAGGATCCCGATTCCGGCTTATGCGGACAAAAACATGAGCAAACGAAAACCAACTCTAGGTGGGCATGTATTATCACAACAAGCCGGAGCTGGTTCGCCCGTTCAAAACTCAAGAAACGAGGAAGTATTTTGTCAGGTGTCGCAACCTGGACAACTATTGAATCATGGCCTTTTATCTCATTAGGTGCCTTACGGCTCGTGGAATGGCAAAATTCGCTCGCTCTCTCCCAAAGCCTGATATCTGTGAACGAAGAATGATCGGACATCAGACCTCGCAAAGTGCAGGGGGCCGGGGGTCAGTTGGAGTTTCGGACATCACGGCTCGCAAGCGCGGGGCCACCAGCTCCGATTGTATGGGAATCTTGAGGCCTTGGCAAGAGATCAGTGGAAAGTTGTCACACTCCAGGCCCTCTTCACTGAGGCTGCTGCACTGCCAGTGCAAAACCCAAATAACGGGTTAACTGACCTGCAAGACTGCACGCTGCGACGATGTACGTCCACGAAGTCATACAGCCAAGGATGCTCGGCTAGTGAAGCTCCTGGCCTTCTAGCTACGGGTTGAACACCTGCAAATTCAGCACGCTGCGAGGCAAGTTCTGGACAAAACTCAAGACCCTTTGCCTGCGCGTCGAAGCATTCGCAAGCTGAAGAACCCTGTCGAAGCCTTTCGATGACACACTGGGGCAGGTCAAAAAACTGGCAACAACATTCATCAACAAGACCTCAGACCACTCAGCAGAAGAAGCTCACGCAGCCTTTTGCCATCTGTTTTCAAAGCTGCTTTCTGCACGCCATCCAGGGATCCCACAGCTCTGCGCCAAGAGTGCAAATGGACACCCATGAGTTCGCCATATGGCTCGTTTGGCCATGGGAGCCTCTCCCCGCCCAACCCAGCCTTCAATGACGTCACGGCTTGCCAGTCACGAATGGCTGATGAACAACAGAGGCGTCGTGTGGAGTCACTAGTTGCACAGAAGTAGGCAACCGGAAGCTTCATTCGAAGGATTGCGTGGATGGCAGCATGGTCAAGGTGTGGAGGCGGAAGGAGTCCATGTCCATGTTGCCAAGAGGGCAAAGGAATGCAAAAGAGGGAGAGCTGATGTGGACTTCGAGCACCACCTGGTCCGCCTCCCAACGCCCGAACGGATGAAAGCCAGGCATCACTTAGTCAGCCTGGCACTTCTGTACGGTGTCACTACATTGGGGCTATCGACAGATTCCGGTGCCGAGGCGGCAGGTTGGGCGGCATCCTGACTGGAACCATTCTGAACCCCGCCTCCCTGCCAGAAGCCCTCGTACACCCACTGGAAGTCAGCTCACCCATTCGAAAAAAAACGTTGCCCTTCCCGAACTCGCCTGTTGACAGTTGACAGGGGTACGCTGCGGCTAGACGTGAGCGGCTCGGCACCCCAAACACGACTGACAGGAGTCCGCCCTCACTGCGTCAGCTGGCTGCCCCACATGAAAGACGTTGGGGGGTTGAGCTTGTTTGTCATGGAGATGTTCTGGCAGATGGGGAACAAACGAGCGCTTCGGGAAGGTGTCAACTACGCTGCGCCACCCTCGGGCGGCGCTATGCGGCGCTGCGGCGCCGTGCCAAGACCCCGATGTGACTTTTGCATTCGGCAGCTCGGCCCGCAAGGGGCTGGTGGTTCGCTAGCGTGCGCTTTGCAGGCATGACTCAGGGTAGCTGTTGCCAGCTACATGGGCTCAATTTGCGGCCGAAAGCAGCAATCGATTCTTCCAACCACCAAGCGACACACTCATGGAGTCTGTGTAGCGAAGTAGTAGCTATACTGCCTATACTATACCGACCTGACCACAGCGCAGATCAGGCGTTGTGCAGGCGTACCGTGCTTTTAGGGTTCCTCTCAGTGAATTCTCCCTTGAAGACCACACCCACCTCACGCAGCAAAAGCAACACCGTGCACATTTTTTGCGCATGCTTTGTTGGTCGCGCGAGCGATGTAGAGGGGACTACTGCACAGGTACGGCTATCGGTCCATGGGTCGAAGTCATGGGTGGACTGAGTGAGCGCCACGGCGCGCTCGATCGGTGGTCGTCTTGGGGCAGCACCGTGGGCCCGAAAGGCGGGCTCGCAGTCACTGTACCCTTTGACAGGCGCCACAAAAGATTCAGTGTGGCGCCCATGCCCGTCGATGAACTCAGGGCGCAAGCCCGGGCAGGTCAAAGAAGGCCCTCGATGTTGGCAAACTCGCTGGTGTGCCTGCGAATCCCTCGGGGTATCTCGCCAACATAGGCCAACATGTTCTCAGACAGGACAGCGCCACTGCCTTCGATCGTGCCACAGCAACAAAACGGTACCACGACTCTTCGCATACCCGAGCAACGAGGCAAAAGAATCGAAAGGATAGAGGGACACTTCGAAGAAAAAAACTCACCCCGAACGGAATGCACGAGCGAGTCGCGTCACGCAATGCAGATCCAGCATGCGCAAGTTCCCCGACGAACTACACAAAACATAGTCGGCATTGCAAACACACGTGCAGCGCATCCCAATCGTATCAATGATGCGGCCTTCTCGGCGTTCGGCTTGTTCAGATCAATGCCAAGCCGTCGGCACAGTGCAGGCAGGTCTGCTGTGTGCTCCTGCGATCAAGTGCCAGCGCTGTGCCAGCGCTTGGCGAGTTCAGCGTTGTTGGGAGCAACGCACCTCGAATCGGCTGTCTTCTAAGGCCGCTCTGTCCTGCACATTGAGGGTAAAGGAATGCCGGCCGCAAACAGCATCGTAGATACAGCGGACAGACAAGTCCTGCAACAGCTTGTCGGCAGCCTTGAGAAGAAGCTGCGCTGTGGCCTGATCAAAACACCCCCTCTGCATCATGTGGTAGTGGCATGAGCTCTTGGTTGCCCGACATCCTGCCGTGGAAAGCGGCGCCGATTATCAGCAAGATGTTTCTTTTCCTGCAGGTGTTCTGCATGCTGCTCTCCGTTGTTCACAACGACACATGTGCATTTGGCCCGTGCTGTGGTGTAGGATGGTGTAGGTGCACCTGTTCTTGCTGGGCGACATGCTCCGTGTACTCGGAGCGAAGCCTTAGATCACATGGTCCCCGAATGCGCAAAAAACAGCTCGCAACAGCTCGCAACAGCTCGAAGAAGGAACCTGAGCTTCAAGACTGCTCTAGCAAATCATCTGAAGACATGGCCTCGAGCTGCGCCTGTCGTGATTGCAGTCAGTGTCATTGCTCTACAATATTCAATTGCTAAATTAATTCTAACTACCAATAAACTAAATTTCATGGTCATCGTCGCCACTGATGCCTTCAAATGATGATCCATTCATTCCGACGCAAAGAGCGTGTGGCGTCACAGGATATGCATCAAATGGCATTGGTGTGCTTCCGGCTGGTTTGTTTCAGACCTAGTTGACAGCAAATGAACCAAAAAGAAACCGAAGTCGAATTTCACTTGGAACAAGTTTCAATCTTTGAAGAATTGGTGCGAGAAAGAAAACTACAGAACCAAAATGATGATGAAAATGATAATGATAATGAAATCGGGAATGGAAATGGAAATGTGTTTGGATTCTGGCAATCATTCATGGCAGTGTCGCTTGTCATGACTGCGTTGGTTACACATGACTGCGGCTTTCCCCACAGCAGCTCTGCTCGTGTTATGCGCAGAGCTGTTCGCAAAGCCCGATACGTTGCTTTCAGCAAGTCTCTGATAAGTAGCCCGGCGCCTACAACCTACAAGTAGATGATTTCAGTAAGACGTTGTCAGTGTCTGCACTTTGCTGTCTTCTGATCCGACAAGGTCACATCACATGCCAAGGCTGGAGACCTGGGAGGCCAAGCCAGGTCTGCAAATGCTTGCATTTTGTCTTCGAAGAGCCGCTCTTTAAAACAGTTTAACAAAGCAAACATTCACAGCATGTCTCGCCCTAAACTTCTCTCGTTTCCCGCCTTGAGCGAAGGCACTGGTCATGCCAACTGCCACAGGGGATCGTAACAGTGTTGTACTTGCTGAACCTTCCCTGACTGAATGTAACGAAACCTCGTTGTTTCATGTTCTTACTGCGCGTTCATGAAGGTCGATGGCTGGTGCCACCTTGAGCCACGACAGGAGGACAGCATGTCCAGGTGAACAGTCTGGGAACTTTCCAGGGAACTTCCACATTGCGCTGACCAAACTGGATGGCTTCCCATGTTTCCACATTACCCGTTTCAGTGAAGCAGACAAATGCACTACGTAGTCATCTCCATGCGTAAGAGGCTTTCCAGTAGATTGCAACGGGCCATAAACTCGCGCACTTGCATTTTGGCACAGCTTTGCTGCTTACATGTGCCGGGTTTCCGGGAGCTACTCCTTAATTGTCAGCAATCCCTCGTACCTTTGGGGACCGCCCTCATACGGGGGAAACGGCGTTGCCTGGATGACCTCAACACATAGACAGGCCAAACGAACCGACGAATTAACTCGCCACTGCTCACCGTCCTAAGCGCGGCACGCGGATCGCATCCTGAAGCTCTTTCGGAATGATGACTACATCCTGCACCCATCAAGTGTAGGCGGGTGCTCATGCATGAAAAGGCATTGAGGCAGACTACGCTCGCGCTCGGAGCGAAAAGTCAAGAAGGCAACTGGCAGCTACTGGCGTGTTGTCATTTGCCAGGCTTAGCTCAGCGCATTAATCACGATAGCCTTTTGCAACTCCTCCTTTTCCTGCGCAAGAGTGAAGGTTTAGGACAATGCCGAAGCGTAGCATCTTCAACATGTCGAAGGACGAACAAAGGTGATGGCACATTTGGTTCCTTGGGGCTCTTGTACACGTAAACCTGCAAAGGGTGACAAGTGTGTGGCAAAAGAGGCACATTGCAATGCAGCACCACGTGTGACATTGCTATTGGGGCTCACGCCTCGACGCCCTCTTCTTGCGCACTAATGTCGCTGTCGATCAAGATTTTCCCAGTTCTGGCTGCCTGCCAATGGGCAAGGTTTGGCTCATTCAAAACCAACCGCTGCCTCCGACGTCATCTGCTTCGCAAACGCAGCTGGCGGTCTACGAAACAAGATTCAATGCATCTACGTCTGTGCGCGTCTTTCTGAAGCTTAGCAACTGCAGCAAGCAAGTGTGTCTTAGAATTTGGGTCCTGCTTGTGAGTTTACATGACCGAGCTCGGCCAGGTAGGCTTTGCAAGATGTTGAGGAGCCCATTTTGAGGAACTCCGTGAAAACCTTCTGGGTTTGCGAATAAAAGTTGCGGCGCGTGAAAAACCAGAAGTAAAAACAAGACTGTTTTTGCAACTTGAAATGAACTGACCGGTACTGTCGTTATCCTACAAGTAGTAGTCTGTTACCTTTTGTTTTGGCCTTCTTGGCAACAACGAAGAGAAATTCTGTCTCGCGATGAGATCTCAGCGAATAAGCAATGAAACCACTACTCAAGATAGTGAAAAGCTGTGTTGGTGTTGGACAAGGCTTGACTGCGGGCTTGACCAGACCATGCTCAGGTCGCGCTCTAGCGCTACATTGCATCCTAAGCAAAGAGACCCGGAGCCTCATTGTACTGGTCTCGGTCAACTACATCGAACTTGAAGAACTCTTCGGTCTCTGGATCCGCAGTCCAATGGATGAAGTACTTGCCGCCGAAGGCGCTCTGGGCAACAGCATCACTGCTCCAACACCACGCAACAACCTTTGCAGATGCTGTCATGCCCTGTCTGAGGCCGAAGCAGCTTCCAACTCCTGGATGAAGCGTTGCGTGACCGCCTGGCCGAAGCATGTCTTCAATGACTTTTTGTGGGCTCTCCAGGTTGTCGCCCACCTGCAAATACAGCCTCATTCTATCATAAGGCTCTGCTTTCCAAGAACGAACCTGCCAGCGAAGCGGCGAGGTCCGAAAAGCCCATATACAAACATGTACCTTTGGGCCTCATCACTTGTGTACATAGATGTATGTATGTATATATGTATGTATATGTATGTATATGTATGTATGTATATGTATGTATATGTATGTATATGTATGTATATGTATGTATGTATATGTTTGTATATGTATGTATATGTATGTATATGTATGTATATGTATGTATATATGTATATGTATATATGTATATATGTAGATATGTATATATGTATATATGTATATATGTATATATGTATATATGTATATATGTATATATGTATATATGTATATATGTATATATGTATATATGTATATATGTATATATGTATATATGTATATATGCATATATGTGTATATGTATATATGTATATATATATATATATATATATATCTGTGCACAACACAAGGCGACCACCTGCAAGTCATAAATGAACTTGTTCTTGCCTCATGGTCAGAGCTACGAGCTGCACGAGCCGGAAGAAATATCCAAACCACCCGAATCCGTTCTCTCAGCAGCTGGCTGGGCTTCGGTGGCACCGGAGGAAGCACGTTTGGCCGCTGCACACAAGAAGGGCGGCACCACTACCACCAAACGACAACATGAACATGAACATCAACATCAACATCAATTACACCAGCGAAGACTTCGAACTCCCCATCTGTTAGCATGGGTGAACGTATCTGTTCCAAGCTATCGCCAGGAGTCTTTGCCATTCCCGTATATTTGATACCTTTGAAGTCTCGCGCTTTTGTAGTCTGCGAACATGCCTTCCACTCTTGGCTGTTTGGGGTCAAGCAATACTCCGATCTTTGGCCAGGTCGACTTAGACACCACCACTCGTTGGAGGCCAGGCCAATTCCGGTCTTGGTCAGTATATCACACACATATACGTGACAGCAACCCTGTGACATCAAGAGGGTTGCAGTTCTGGACATGACGACTTAGGCACCATCAATCGTTGGAAGGCAGGCAATCATGACCAATTTCGGTCTGGGTCAGTGCATCACCGACATATACGTGACAGCAATCCCGTGAATCAAGTGTCGAGAGGGGATGTTGACCCTCAAGCGTGGACGCTGGCCCAACATCTGAGGGGTGAATGTTGGGACAATATGTTGGGCCAACGTCCACCCTTGAGGGGTCGGAATTGGTGAACTGTTTGGGGAACAAAGCAAGAGACAAGCAGCAGAAGAGCCGGCCGGACACCCACATGAACAGACCAAGGGAGACAAGCAGCCTCCACCGACATGAAGGGAGACCAAGGGAGACAAGTGGAGACAAGTGGAGACAAGCAGCCCAGAAAACCGGCACTCACATGAAGGGAGACAAAACAGGAAACAAGCACCGACAAGAAGCCCAGGGAGCCGGTCGAGGCTGACCAGCGGAGACAAGCAGCCCAGGGAGCTGGCCGAGGCCACCTGATAAAGGGAGATGAGTGAAAAACAAGCAGCCCAGCAAACCAGCCGAGACCACCCACATAAAGAGAGACAAAGGGAGACAAGCGGAGACAAGCAGAGACAAGCAGCCCACGAAGGCAGACAAAGAGAGACAAGCGCAAGCAGCCCAGGGAGCCGGCCGAGGCCACCCACATCAAGCAGACAAGCGGGGACAAGCAGCCCGCAAACAGCCCAGGAAGTTGAGGCCACCCACATCAAGGGAAACAGCAGCCCAGATGGCAGAGGCCACCCACATGGGAGACAAAGGAAGACAAGCGGAGAAGCAGCCCAGGGAGCCGGCCCACCCACGAAGAGACAAAGGGAGATAAGCGGACACAAGCAAGCACTGGAAAACGCCGAGGCCATGGAGACAAAGGGAGACAAGCGGAGACAAGCAGCCCAGGGAGCCGGCCGAGGCCACCCACATGAAGGGAAAGGGAGACAAGCGGAGACAAGCAGCCACATGAAGGGAGACAAAGGGAGACAAACGGCCGAGGCCACCCACATGAAGGGAGACAGAGGGAGACAAGCAGCCCAGGGAGGCACTTGTCCTGCGCCTCAGGACGCAGGTGGATTGTAGCAGTAGGTCCTTGCAAATAAGGCTGCGACATGCCGTGGTATCTACAGTACTTCGTACAACCAGTAGTACTCAAGTACTGAGATGTACTGAGTACTACTGGTTGGAAACATCGTATTGAGGAAGTTTAGTTTCGTTGCGAGGGCTTGGCGCGTACAATCTCCGAAGCTGAGTGAATGCAAGCTTTCAGCCAGTGCTATTCTGCAGCAGAACGCATCAGTGCAAAAATCGTTTGCTTCATTTCGTTCAGACAAGGGGACGAAGGCCGCCAATTCTTAGACCAAACCACAAAATACGCAACAACCAGAACAACCGCGACTACGACAACGACAACAACAACCACAACACTCCGAACAATCCCAACAAGCACAACAAGCACAACCACGACGACGACAACAACGACAACGACGACAGCAACGACAGCAACACCAGCAACCGCAGTGGCGGCAGCAGCAGCCGCAGCAGCGGCAGCAGCAGCCGCGGCGGCGGCGGCAGCAGCAGCAGCAGCAGCAGCAGCAGCAGCAGCAGCAGCAGTGGCGGCGGCGGCGACGGCGGCGGCCGCAAGAGCTGCCGCAGCAGCAGCAGCAGAAGCAGCAGAAGCAGCAGAAGCAGCAACAGCAGGAAAACAACACAACAACGAAACGACAGCAGCGACTACGACCACGAGCGCATCAAAGGCACTGGAGCTCAATCACTTCACATGTCCATAGAAAAACTGATTGTTGCACAAGCGTGCTGTCTGTCACTCAGTTCCTCATACTCAAGCCTCTGCAAACACAGGTGTCGCGACTCCTGGAGCATTGAGAACCGGCAAATCAAGCTGCTCAATGGCCTTGCTGAGACGCAAGCCTGCAAACAAAGCAGCGATCAGCGCTGCAGCTGAGCCCGTGAGGCTGCCTGATGGTCAGCTGAGCACCAGCCACGTGGCGAAGTGAACTTTCAGGATAGTTCTTGACAGGCCACGCCGGCTATTTGTAGCAGTCGTATCCACAGGGAAAACGCTTTCTTGTGTCCTGCCAGTCCCAACAGCATGGCAACTCAGAATGCCAACGTGGCAGCAGTCCTGCCACTATTTCGAGCCAGGCCGTCTATCCGGTGGTCCTGCAGACGGCTGAGGTGCTGATATTCCGCCCTAGGAGAGGGAGAGGGTAACAGAGCAAAAGAGCCAAGAAGCTGGAGAGAAAGCGAAAAGACGATCAACCCAACAACGGCGAGCAGCAGCTACGCAAAGAGGGGCAGTGACAGAGACGGGAAAGAGAGAGAAGGGAGCAGAGAATGCAGACCTATGTGTTTTGCACGACAAACATGCTCTCTGAAGGCCTTCGAGACCGGCCTCGGGCGACCACCAGTCCAAGCCAGCGAGTGCCTGTGTTCGAAAAAGAGAACAGAGATCAATGAAACCACCCTCAAGTTGAACGTCCCTTTAAGGTTCAAATTCGTCCATCTAAATGTGGCCTTTCCCGCTCTATCTGGAGTGTTGCCAGCTCGGGTTGTCTTGTATAGAACATGTCTGCTTGTGCGTTTCCTCTCTCTGGCTTCAACAGATGGAAGCCTCTGCTCTCATGCCATTGCCAACAGGCCTTCCGCAAGCGACAGCACACAGGACGAAGACGCACGTCGCCTTGGCCACTTCTGTGCTGCATGGCCACAGTGTCTCACAATCAAGCTCAGCCGGCTGCCAATGTCGTGCAATGCACACGCCTCACCCAAGGTAGTGAACCGAAGAACACAACAAGCATCTGCCCTGTCTTGAACATGTTGGCCTGGTTCGACCAAGAGCACCCAGCGCCGAAAATTCCTCGGACATCTGTCCCCATGTCAGGTCGAGTTGGAACAGCTCGTCTCCTTCTTTCTAGGCCCACAACTCTCGCCCTGACCATGTCGGACCAGGAGGCACCTCCCCAAGAGCGTGCATGGGCTCGTCTTATCCTAGCCTCCCTCTCTGTTGTCGGATCTATGGTATCCTGGCAAGCTCCACCGCGTGAGAATGATGCTGCGCAAAGAGAACGGAATGCCTGGGGATGCGTCTTTGGCTCGGATCCCTAAATAGCCCGGGCGGCTTGAGCAGCAGCTTCAGAAATCAACGCACCCAATGAGAAATCGTACTGCAAGGACCCATGGACCATTTGCCTTTGCATCTGAATACGTCCGCATATTCTTATTGGCAAACGCATTCACAGTCCACCGCTCTGCTTTTCCTCAATCAAGGGTTGGACGGCATTCTCGTCCAGGTTTCTCTATCTTGGCCGTTGCACGTTGTCACAAGATTCTGGATGTTGTGCTTCCCAGCAACACTAGTAGCTTACCAGTGCTCATCTTGCTCAAGTCTTACAGACCCCTGCCGCTTCGTGATACTTCGAGCGAGTCGAGCTTTTGCGGTGGAGATTGGCTTCAACGGGCTGTCCGCTCAGCTTCCAGGGTTGGACTGCTCCTGGCTTGCGGGAACCCACGCTCTCAGCTTCATGACTGGCACTTCCTGGCACAGGCCGCGTCACAGGCACGTTCCATTTCAAACCATGGGCGAGCTCGTGAAGTGAGCACTTTGTGCTCCACATCACCCGACAAGAATGGAAACCAGAGCTACAGCAATGTCTTTTGACATGCGAAGGTGTCAGCGAGTTTCGCTGTTGACGTCTCACGGTCTCATGGCTAGTGCATGGCATATTGTCTTTGAAAATGCTAGAATGCCAACGATTCAAAAATAAAAGCAGCCCTGCCACCGCAAGGCTCTGTGCATGTGATTTAAACTGTACCAGTGACCATCTCCGCGTGATCCTCCTTGCAAGGTCATACTTGCAGGAAGCCAGGCTGGCAAGAAAAGGAATACACATGCATGAACACAGCGGCCTTTTGTGATGATGGCTTGGCTCTGGTCCGGCCACACAGGCAAAAGGAGTTGCGACCGCGCACCTCCAGCCACAAGGGTCACACTGCCAGCAACCACCCAACACAATTTCAAAGCCTTGGATGGGGGTGGCTCAGGCTTCTTGTGCTTGATCTCCTGACTGCATGAGGTTGACTTTTCAAAATGAAGACAATGAAAGTCATGAACATTTGGCTGGTCATCCGATTCATGCCGGCATCATGACACATGCCGCACATTCGAATCTCCCATCCTTCTGGATCTGGCCATTCACATTTTTGTCGGACTCCAGCTTCTGTCATTTGCGTTTTTGCTTAACACGCATGCGGTACACACGGTGCACAAATCGAAGCATCGTCTAAACGCAAGCGTCCACCTTTGCCAAGTCGACCACGGTCCCGCGAAAGAACCTCCCGAGGTTCCAGGGCAAGAAAGAAACTTATCGAAGCAAAGGAACCCTCCCCAAGTATCTCTGAAAGGAAAACAAAGTGTGCCATGTGTGCCTAACCGTCTCTTGCAGCTGCGTCGCCCTGCGAGGCCTCGACACTGCCACGAGCTGCCTAGGCAACCTGAATCTGAACACAGCCTGGGCTCAGTGTCAAAGTTCACCAGCAAGGACGCCCTGGACAGGGATGCCTGAGGACAAAGAGAAGGGAAAGGTGCCATGGAGCAAAGGAAAGCAATGCGTCAATTCGGACCACTTAGAAACATCACCGGTTTGTTCCCGCCTTACAAAACCGAAAATCGAAAAACCATAGTAGAACAACATGGTTTTGTCTACGCCTACGCACCTTAGAAAAAAGCGGTTTAGAGAACGACTTGAGAACGATCCGTTCCCATTCAGGAGGACAAACGACACCGTGAGCAACACCAGGGAAAACCTGAGGATCTGGCGGAGCGACGATGCAGATTCTCGTCGATGGCGTAGCGGGCCCCGCCTAAAATCCAGCCAAACCCTAAACCCTAAACCCTAAACCCGAAGGCCGAGCCCAAGTCAAGGACCAACCGAGCTACGACAGCCGAGCGGCTTTGAAACCAATGGTTTCCACAAAGTTTCCGGTTGGCCCCGTTCAGAAGCGCCACCTGCACAGCCCAAGATGAACACGCGCAGAATCACACAACAAACACAAGAACATCTCCCACCCTCCATGGGAGGTCCATGGGAGGGGCCTTGAGTGGCCGCAATTTACCAGAACCCTTCGAAAGCTCATGAGCCAGCCTCAATCCGATTTCAAATTCTGCCATTGTCACATCACGTCTTGATCTCAAATCCAAGCTTGCTGCTGCAAGGAATCAACATTCTTCCTCAACCGAAGAACATCTTTCAACGCAGGGCCTTCAGAGCACATTGCGCAGTACATCGCAGTACCTGCCTTGCCACACCTCCTGCCCTGACTTTTAGAGACACCGAGGTGAATGCAGTTCTTCGCTTGAGCTGCTGCTGCCTGTGTCAAGTGCCGAAGGCAAAGGGATTGACGGGGTCGGCTTCTCCACCATGTTATCGGTTGAAGCTGGAACGATGTCCGACAAAACGAACCTGACAGAGTAGCTCCGATTTAATGGGTTTGTTGATTTCACCTCGTGAAAACCAGCTCATGTTGATGGCTCAAACGACATGAAAACCCAAGACGAAGCATGGCGCGGGGACCAACCAACACCCAGGACACGGCAAGAAGGCGCGAAACGACACGAAACAAGACACCACGAAGAGACGACAACAACACGTATACCCAAACACGCAGCGCGGAGAAACCGTCATGCCAAGATATTCAGGCCTGAAATAATGCATTCGGGCCATCTGATGGTATGACAACTCCCAAACCATGCCAAAACCAAACTAACAACTGTAAATAGAGTGGTGTTTTTCAAGCACAATCCGACAAGCATCCCCGGGTATGGCACATTGACATGCATTTGCGCCATCTGAAAAATGTATCTGGCAATGGCTGCATGGACCGACTAAGCAATCAAAAACGATGCGAAATGCCAACCGAGGCAGAGTGAGCAGCTCTGCCGTCGGCGATTTCTAAAGAGCTCTTCTCGCCTGGACGAAGGAGTTGTGGTTCTCGATGCTCTCTGGGTTCACACACACCAGGCCTAAGCCGTAGAGGCATTAGAGGCATCATGACAGAGGACCGGAAGGCAGCCCTTGTCCAGAATGCAGATTGTCCAGGTTTGTGCCCAGCTCGTAGCTTCCTAATGCTCCTGAGGGAAGATGACAACGGTTCATTCCTTCTACGCTCGGGGCTGAGGATTCGTCACGACTATCATGTCTCGGATTTGCCAATCGACACTCCTTGAGGCTTGGAGTTTGCCGCTTTCAGGACTTCGGGTGTTTACACACAGCTCTGTAAGCTTGTGCTGTTAATGACTGTTCCAATCCCAAACAAGTCTCCCTTGTGCATCTAGTGCGCACTGAGGACAGCGCAAAGATGCACTCTCGTTGACGGTGTCGCCTCCCGCAAAGCACTTGCCGTCACTTGCCATTGCCCGGTTTTGCAATTGCAAATGGAAATAGAAATTCATAACTCTGAAGGGCCATCGGCGATCCAAGCCTGTGGATTGACAGGTTTGGACCTGGAGGGATACATAGGGAGACGACATTGCAGGCTTCACGAACATCTCTGGCGCACGTCGACTGGCCAAAAAATTAAGGTAAGAGCTGCGGCAAGCAAATGTCGACGATGGCCTTCATGAGCTCATCCTCAGAAGAGCAGACCAAAGTGCACTTAGTGACAATTTAGTGCACTTTAGCATGCGCGGGTGCGACCTGTCAGGACTTTGAAATCTCCAGGCAAGTCTTTGCAGAGTTCCTGAATGTGCCCGTTGATGCCCAAGCCCATACCCATCAAAAATTAACAAATGGATAACGTGCGCCTTCCCGAATCGCGTGGTTTCCTGAATCAAGTGGTTTCCCGAATCGCGCGGCTTTCTGAATGGGTTTCCTGCGTCGCGTGGTTTCAATTTCCTGAATCGTGTGTCTTCCTAAGTCGCATGCTTCTGAGTTCCTGAGTCGCAGTTTCCTGAATGGCGCGAACGCAGTTTCCTGAATCACCTGGTTTCCTGAATCCTGGTTTCCTGAATCGCCTAATTACTTTCCTGAACGCATGTTTCCTGCATCCTGGTTTCCTGAATGAATCGCGGCCAGTTCTGAATCGCGCACGAACCTCAAGTGGGTGCCTAAGTGTAATGTCATAGCCAGATACTGCGCGTCCATGGCGTCAGCCTGTACATGTGCTGACATTCCTCGTCAACACACAGAGCAGAAGCAACACTCGACTTGCGAACCTTCTCCCAGCCACAAAGCTTAAGCCTCTGGCGGCGATTCTGCGCTTCAACCTTCGCATGCTGTTCGCGTCCTGGCACAGCTCCACGACCCTAAACCAAAAACGTGCACTGGGAAACTTGCGGCTCCTCGTACCGATCATCGTTCAGGTGAAGGTGTCTCAGGAAAGCACCCATTCCTGCAACCAGCTGTGCTGGCTTCAGCGACCTTCTGCACTTCAAAGCTTTCTGGGTCCAATGCCGAACGGAAAGAGAATGATGTCCTCAACCTGAAAACTTGCAATTGGAAAGGTTTGCATTTCCTGTGCTTAGGCCACTCTTAGGCCATCCGCTGATTTGGGCTTCATTTGCTGTAAGTAGTCAGCTATCTCGAGTGCCCGCCAGCAGTGGGCTCGTCAAGATATGCTCACTCTGTTTGCGCCCCTAAATTCGTACTTCTTGCTTGGTCAGCGTTGGCTGACGATGATAAATCATGATGCTGCAAGAACCTGTTTTTCTAACATGCCCACCCTTCCGAAAACAAACTTAGCCGCCTCGTGCATGCCATCAACTGCTTCCCTTTGAACTTCCTCGCAGATAAGCTGCCTGCAGGTGTCGCATGGCTACGAGCACATTCCGCCAGAGGCGCCGCAGGTCTTGGATGTACAGATCCTCCGCTGCTTCGCTAAATGTTTGTGCAAAAAAACTCCATGGATTGCTCGCGCAACCTCGTCAAGTCGGCGAGTTGGTCGTGCAAGGCGCTCCTTCCAGCAGCACCTGTGCAAGTCTTCTTAGTCCTCTTTCGACAACCGCAAAAGGGCAAAAAATCTGCCCGGTCCCGGCCTCGAGGCAGTTGAAGCCGTGGATCGCACAGATTCTGTCCTGGGTGGTTCCAAAGCGGTCCACGGAAGGTTTCGCCCTGAGAAAGCCCCCACAAGAAGCCCGTGAGACAACATGTGTGCTTAGCATTGCTTAGCATTGTCGATGGTAAACAGCATGTGTTTCTTTCCTACGAAACGCGTGCATAGTGGAAACGATTCCTGTGCGGAAGCAGTGCGCATCTAACGTGACACATGCTGGCGGACGCCGACGACGAGTTCCGACTAGAGGAAACCATGAATCACATATGTATAGCCGGACTGTCTGATCGGCAGAGTATGGGGTTGCTCGCGGTCGCGGAAGACGCCCGTGGCCGCGTCGCTCAGGCGTTTGCCAAGTTTGCTGGTCACGCTCAGCTGGGCTGCTTGGTCATTTTCTTCGACGTGTGAAACTGGCACAGGTCGCAAAGGCGTCGTCGCGGCCTAAACCAACCCCATGCTACAGAGGCAAGCAGATGCTTGCTTCGTGCTGCAAGTCGTGCGCAGCGCCAACGCGGGTCCTCGTAGGGCTCGATATATCACCCTCCTGCATCACAAGCACTGCAGCCTGAAGACAAGTCTCTACCGAACATCGCAGATGCGCTCCTCTTCCACCGAATACGCTAAAAAGTCATCCGCTTGAGCACTTTCACCTCAGTGTGAAGAGTTCACTTCTGAAAGCCTTTTTGAGCAGCCAACCAAAACTTGGAATTCTAAACTCTTCGGTGTTGGGAGGCCTAGAGTTGAAACAGCTTGGCGCGAAAAAATGTGGGGAGGCGCGGGCGATTGCGGGGGGAGGAGCGGCCGAGAAGGTTTGCGCGAGCTTTTGGTTTTGCCACATGTCTGCCCCATGTTAAACCTCTAGTCGTGAAAGCCCCCACCCAATGCATGTCACACATACGTCCCAAAGCAGAATCGCTGAGATCATCTACGGCTGCAGCTCGGCCCACCGGATGTGGGCGAACACAAACTTATCACAACCACATGAATACATTGACTACATCAGCGTGCATTTTGAAGCCACAGAATACTGAGACTCTCCATGTGGGCGGCCAAATCCTGCCAAATCCCTAAACCGAGAACGACGACATTTACAGATCAGTGCAGTGTTCGTTTAGCTTTGCATTTCAGTGAGCGAGCTTTCGCTCGGTCGCTCAGGTCTGTGTGTCAGCGAGACAGATGGGCATGTAGACAAGGATGTCAAACACTTTACTATCCAAACCTCTCACGATGCACCGCTTTCTGCAAAAAGATCACCACATGTCAGAAACCTCTACACCCACGGATAAGCACTTTACTGGTATGTGAGCTTTTGCTTAAGACATGAAAGGTGGCCCTAATGCTTTTTTAACGGCAGCTGAGAGAGCTCACCTCTCTTCTACCAACAAGGTGTTTGCGACTGAAATCATGTCAATCCAATGCTCAACACACCCCAGCACACTTACAACCCCATCATTTCAGCCACTCCAAGAGGGCACACGATCGTCACTCCCTTTCTGAATAAGACCAACCCCAACTGGGTCCAAGACCAATGTTGGGAGCAGCAGCATGCAGGACCCAGAACCAGCCTTCCAGCAAAGCTGACAAGGCTGCCCAACATGGTCTTTTTCTAACTTGTCAGCCAGATCTGGCAGCTTAGCCTCGCGCCCTGGAAGCCCTGCAGACTCAAACATGCTCTCACACCCACGAAGCAAGGTCGTCTCCAAACGATCGCCTCAGGGCCATCGCAATCCAAGTTCACGATCGGGTGGAACTCTTGGTTGGGGCTGTTCTGGCTGTCCTCCCGCACGTTGGCCACAAACTGTGTTTGCACACTGTTTTCGGAAATTCGGAAATGCGTGCCCCGACCTGAGAGCGCGGGACCTCTCCAAAGGCCGAGTCATAGTCAGCCATAGCCGGCACAGCTACCATCTGGTACTTTCCCAGCAAGTACTGGTCCTTCAGAACCGCAATCTGGCGCAATCTTTCCCCGAACCCCAGGAACAAGGCATCCGTCCTGTCGACGTGCGATGAAACCCTCGGCTGCTTCAGCCGTAGTCTCCGCCCGCTGCGCCCCCTACAAGGAGCAACACACCGATGAGACGCCACACCGTTCAGCCCAAATGCTCAAATATATAAGCCCAGACTGATTTGGAGGGCTCAGACGTCAGGACACGGGACAGGCAAAAGTCTCTCTCCAAGAGTGTTTCGTGCGAATCAGGGTTGGAGGAGGCTTTCCGGGGCCGTCCGGGTTTGGGTAATAATGCGTGTGAAGAACAACCAGCAGAGACCCACCTGTACCTTAGCAATCTTACTGAACACATGACGTATCATGATGTGCAGGGCATACAGGCCTCGTCGTTGAAAAGATGGGCCATTGACCTTGAACCGCAAGCAGCGACACAGCGGGGGCCATCCCGAACCTGAACTTGTGCCCTTGTTCGCACTCAAGAGCCTTTCCCTGATCCTTGCTGGAGGTCGCCGGGTGCCTTTGCCTTCTGCTTCGTTGAGCTGCCGGCCATGCGATTGAGCGACCGGTCTAGGCGTCTCACAGAGGCTCCCGTGTTTTTGTTGGGCGTGCACTTGCGGCCCCTGCTTTGACATGGGCTTTGGCCTCAGGAGCCTTTCGTTTGCTCACATCTGCCATGCCACAAACCCAGCTGGTACGCATGCCGTGCAATCGCCCATAGATGCGTGCAAATTGCATTCTCGCACAGTTCTGCAAGCTGAAGTTTGCCGGACGACAACCAGTACAAGTATCAAACTGGAGTGACAAGCATTTCGACTCTTCAGACACTTTGCCGCGGACATCTGCTTCTTTGGGCCTGGCCTTACACACAAGCACACACATACATACATACATACGTACGTACATACATACATATATACATATACATGCATACGTACATAGATACAATCACCGTGATTGTCAACACAGCCCCGCAAGCCAGCAGCACCGTCTAAGACACAGGCGGCAGACTCTCGCCACCAGTACCAGATACCTCGAAAACGGGAGATCTCTCATTTCTCCTGCTTTTTCGAGCACGGTTGGCCGGTTGGCCTGTCATGTTTCGGGGTGAAGAACTGTTGGGCCCAGCTGGCCCTGGGGCTGTTACTGAATGTCCTGGTCGGAAGAAGAAACAACCATACGGGCAGGCGCTGTTCCCGGAAAAACATCCATCATGATCCATCACTGCACTCCTACCGTCGTTTAATCCCCATGTTGCCGAATCCTGGTGAGGTGGCCCGGCTGCAGGATTCTTCGTCCCGGAATGTAGTGCCGCCCATACAGCCGCAGATAATACTGCCACTTGCAAGGTAGGACGGGGAAACTTCTGCAGCCTTGTAAACAAATTAGATTCAATTACTTCGCCCCATTTTCGCACAGACTCTCAGCACACCATTTCGTCCACCCGTAGAGGATTTTAGAATCCACCATGTATGGCAGCCGCAACGTTCAATAAACGTTCAATCGGCGAACCTCCTCAAGAAGCCTCGATGCCAAGGTCTCGAACGTGCTCCAGCTCAAGTCCTGCAGTCAGCGCGCCAAATCACTTGGACACCGGAACGAAAGCACACAGCGCACAGCGCTTGTTCATGTTTTGCCTCCTTGTGTCCAAGCTGCTTTAAGACATTGCGTTTGGTCACATCCCGCACCTCGAAGGGCTTGCACAGGCTTGCGCATGGGCTGCATGTTCTAGTGCGTCTCTTTTGTCTGGCACGAACTGGCTACAGTGTGCTACAGTGCTGGGGAGCATCATACCAGCGCCTTGAAGCGAATGGAGTCGGGCACGGAGGGCATGGAAGGGTTTCGCTCTGCCTCGAATGTACCGACGGCAAGGGGCAAGCAGATAGCATTGGCTCTTGGACTCTTGGACAGCGACATAGTCGGCGAAGCCAAGCAGTGGGGGCTCCACAGGATCACCCTGACATTTGTCAAAAATCAGATGCGCTGGTCCGATGACTCGCATCACGTACTGTAGATCTTACACATGGTGTCAGCGCCTGCACAAGGCCTCCGGTTTCATGATAGTCCTGCTTGACCTTGAACACCATTGCGGGCTCGCTACAGCCCCAGGAATCCCGGCCAGCTGGGTCAGATCAGGCGTCAGCCTGCCATCGAGTGGCGCTGCCTCTGGCAACCGCTCCAATTTTGGCAGCAGCTGCCTGCGAGAACATTTGTACACGTTCCACGATATTCCACTCATAACATACAAAGACTCTCTGCGCACAGACTGTGTCCATGCCTCGTGCTCTTTCGTGTACTCTCTTTGGTCAGTACCTATCGAATCGTGTGTCTTGAACGCACAACATCAAAGTGAGACTGGCAGTTATTGGCAGTTGCTGCATCTGCCTCTGACGCTGCGGATTGGCGGCGCAGCCTGCACCTTCGAATGTACTTGACGGTTGTTGAAACAAAACTGTACAGGTCGGCATCTCTGAGCAACCAAACTCCTGGTGAAGATTGCTTCACAGCCTGCCAGCGGCAACTACAACAACAAAATGCGCAAGTGTAAACACACGAGGCTTTTGAGGGCTTGACGTCGACTGGCCCACCTGCCGTGCCACTTCCTCCACCGCCTCGATGTCAAGTAAGAAACGCAGGATTTGCGGTGTACCATTACCAAGACGGCCTGCAGGCCCAGACTGGACTTCCGCGCATTTTGCTTTGGCTGCTCTACCGCCCATGCTGCTGGACCTTCAGGGATGCAGTGCAAAGCACACATTCACCAATTAGTGACTCTGGATTTATGGTGGTTCGCATGCGATTTCATAATATTTCGTTCACATCATGCTACGTTGTACCTTAAGGCTAGGTTCAAGAAACTGAAACAGCGATGCTTTACAAAATGGATGCAGAAAAAACTCCCCAGCTGGAACATGGGTGAGGTATCGAGAAGTTGCTTGAGGATACATGAAGCGCTGCAGCGCTGACGATTTCGAGGGCTCGCTGAGACCACCACGGAAACAGCGGCAGCGTTGGGACGAGGAGCCGGAGTCACCCGAGGCTGGCGGAGGCCAAAAGGGCAGCCCGACCCACAAATCTGAGGGGAGAACCTGAACAAATCGCGCGGAGAAACGGCCGACGCCACTGTGCTGAGCAACGAAACAGGTTTGCATGGCAGACCCTGCAACTTCATAACTTGAACAAAGCCCCCGGATATCTGCATCGGACGTTTGCCCCCCTCTCGAGGCATCAGGCCGAGACTCTGAGCCACATACATAATTTCAGCAATTCTGAGCGTGTCTGAAGGTCTGTTTAAGCTTGCTAGACACATACTCTCCGGCTGCAAAGTAAGTAAGCAAGTGAGTGAGTGAGTGAGTGAGTGTCTCTGTGTGCGTGTGTTTTAGCAGCAAAGGTTACGGGCTGACACGGAAGCTGCTTCTGCCGCTTGGACCCCAGCGCCGATAAATACCGTTCTTGATGATGCGCCGTCTTTGTGGATCGCCGAAAGGAATTGCTGACAAGCTGCTACCAGCAACAATATGCAGAATATCACACTTTCACAGACAATAATGAAGCCTATCATGCGCCAGCGAGAACAGTGGAGTTGCCAAACGTCTTGGACTCCAAGCAGCATGGAACAAGTTGAAATCCAGGCAATCACGTTCTGATGCTTTTTGGAGATGTAAGTTCTTTCAGTCTTTCGTACCGGCACACCATCGTGCCGAGGTGCTGGTTGGATGGGGTTGTTCTGCATGCAGCACTTGCGCAGGTCGTTTCTGATCTCAGCTTGCATGTCGCAGTTCGCAGTTGTATGGTCGATGCCGGCACCACTACTAGATCCGTGCCCAAAAGTGACGCTTGCGCCCCTTCCTGAGGAATGTGTTAGTGGCACGGGCCGAGGACCTCTTGGAACGGCCGGGAAGCTTCCGAAAAGGCGAAAACCAGTTCTTCTTCTCGAACCCATCGCCCAAAAGCTGAGCAGCATCGACACCCACTCCACAAGGCCCGAAAAGCGGATCCCCCGGGGGCGAGCATCGGCAACAGCGGGGTCGGCTTACAGCCGGCGGAGAGGCTGACCATCCAACAAGTGGTCAAAAGCAACACCACGCCCAGCAGCTATTGGTTCTATTTACGGGCCTGTCGCCCAGGGTCGGCCATCCCCCAGACCCGACCTCCCGACCTCACTGGCGTGCGGGGACCCTGTTAATCGGATGAGGTTGTCGACCCTCACAACAGTCTCACTTCACAAAACCTTGTCACGACATCCTGCCTGGCAGCGGCGGCAGAAGCAAAGCCGCCAGGGTGGAGCTTGGATGCTACTATGAAGCATCTGGTATGTGGAAGTGCACTTGAACAATGCGTACTCTAGCTTATCATGTGTTGCCGTTCAATTACGCATTCTTCGTTATGTGCTGATGTACTTAGTTCCTTTGTTATGCACAGTACGTACAGACAAGACACATATATATATATATGATACAGAGAAGAGAGATACAAAGCATAGGTCTAGAATACAGATATCATACTGAAAAACAAGATTGTACGTACATACGTGTGTGTGTGTGTGTGTGTGTGGGTGTGTGCGTGAGTGTATGTGTGTGTGTGTGTGCCTGTTTGTGTGTATGGGTGTCTGGGCGTGCGGTGCTCTTGGTCTAGTAAGCTAACGATTACGTAAGCTGCTTCTGGCCTGGCAAGACACATAGCTGTTTGGGTCCACCACCAGGTTTCCATCTAGACTGGACAAGGATTTGAAACCTTCACGTGTTACATGCAACGACCTTGGAGGGGACGGCGTGCCAAGATTCTGCAAAGCTTTTGCGTTCTGACATGGTGCAAACCTGCTGTGACACATGCGATACACAGCGCTGCCTCATGTTCATTCGATGCAGGCACAGCCTGCACGCCACACATGCGTGCAGAGCTGGGCAGAGGAAGGAAGCGAGAGAGACAGAGTGACGGAGAGAGTGGGAAAGAGACACCGACACCGACACCTGCACAGAAGTGTCAGCGGCCTGGCTCGAACATTCAACACCGTTCACTTCGACTGAAAGCCATCCTCTACTGTCCTGAAACTTCGTGCGCCTTTGCTGCTTGCAATTGTGCCAGAAGTTGCGCCACGTCCACTCCAGACGCCACTGCCTCCTGTTGAACGTCCGCTGGCTCTCACGATTCTTAGGCATCGGTTCTCGATGTTTTCACACAGTGCTCCATCAGCTCCATCGCTTCTCTCGCGCCTGAAGCTGTGAGGCCAAAGTCTCCATGCCAGGAGCTCCTTGTTGAGCTCCTTGGGGAGCTCCTTGGGGAGCTCCCTGGGCAGCTCTCGGAGCCTCCACAGAAAAGCAAAACAAAACCGTGAGAGCATTTGGCTAGTGACAAAGAAGGGGCGAAAAGCAAGCACTTCGCCTCGCTGGATGCACCTGCCTTGCTGACAGTGACAGGTCTTCCGAACTTCCCAAGTCTGCACAACTAACAGGTGAACCCGTGGCAACCCCTGCGACCGTGGCGACCCATGGCACCCTCCGGCACCTGGCTGCTTCCATTCGGAATGGCGCCTGGAAGGGCATTGACACATTCATCCTAGCAGACGTAAAAGCCTGCTAGACAGCCTGCTGAAAGCCTCAGGTCCCCACCGTCAGCACAACTAGTTTCAGCAGGATCTCGCGCAGAGGATTTCACGCGTCTGCCTGAGGCACAACTGCATCTGCGCTACATCAAAGAATAGCTCGTGCGATCTCACAAAGGGCTCACGATTGCTGCGCAATAGCTGCACCGAAACACGCGGCAAACACGCGGCAAACACGCGGCACCCAGCAACATTCCGAGTAGCCCGACAGCAACAGGCACTGAACAGGCACCTTCGGAGAGATGCGTGGGCCCCGTGGGTTCTGAAGCTGCTTTGACTCCACCTCAGAGCGGAGACATGTTGCCATGATGGCACGTGCCATTCTGCAGCGTCCATCGCCCCTTGTCCTGAAGCATCGGCCTTTGGAGCGACTGCTGCTTGCCGACCTTGGCCTGCTGCCACTTCGCCTCGCTTCTTGCAGAGGTCGCTTCTGCAATCTTCTGCAGCTGTGCACGGCGATGGTGTGCAACCGGATGTGCTGACATACGTGCCCAGAGTGCAGGAGACGACGTGACACTCGCCCAATTTTCCGAGCATCATGCTCTCTTCCTTTGCGCGGCTCCGGCCTCACACGGGGCAGAATTCTTCCGTGTCGAGTGCAACAGAAGTGCAACAAAAGTGCAACAAATGTGTGGGAGCTGAACTTCGCTTGGTTGGAACGCCCTCTTGGATCGACCTCTGCAGAACACGAGCTCAAGCTCTGGGTCTTCCAAGTCTACAACTGCTCCTTCTGTGCAGCGCCTGTTGCGCATCGTCAGCATCCTCCTGCATGCTTCTGTGTGGGTATCGGCGGTTTCGGTCGGTAGTCTCCACGCTTGATTGAACGTCCTCGACTTCCCACAAGGGGCAGGCGGGACCGTCGCCGAGGCAAGCCGCAAGGACGTGCTGGACAGCAAACAAAAGACGTTGAAGCTGCCGTCGCAACACGCAGGACATGACAGACAGGCCCTTTCAAATAGAGCCGAGCCCGACCTCGCAGGTCAGGTGCGAGGCGGCACATCGCTGCAAATGCCTGTCCAAGAACAGCATCTTGACATCTCAAATTGAACTGCGACTGCAACATACTGCAATCAGTATGGCGGTCGGAAACATGCCTCATCTGGAAGGCATGCGGCGGCGGCATCAGTCCCAGAATACACCTATGCTGGTACGCACTACATCTAGTAGCTAGTACTACTTTTCGTCGCAAGCACTAGACGTCGCCAAGCCTTGGAAGAAGCTCCTTGGCTTCATCTGAGTTCGATATCTCCTGCTTCTCCACCTCACTCGGATCTACTCGGATCTACTCGAGCAAGGGAACTGTTGCGCTCGTTCCATGAATTCTCAGCCGCCTCCGCTTCCAGCATGGGCACAGTTGCATCCAAGAGCATTGCTATTGGATGCAGGTGCTCCTGCAAGCGGCACCACTTGGCACGAAGCTTCATGCTGAGGAGACTTGAATGCGAAACAGTCGTGCCTCAACACGCTGCTGCCATTGCTGCGTGTCTTTACTTCCATCGCCATCCTTTTGTGCGTGCAGGCGCGGCACTTGACCTCATTCAAGCGTGACCCTGTCCTTCTCCAGATCGATGTGGCATTGGACCTGCGGCACCTGGGCTGTTGAGACTCTCCAGAAAATGCCCCGAGTTTTTGTCTTTTCGTGCAGCGATATTTGCGAATTTCTCCCTCTTACTCTCCCATTTCTCTCCTCTTTCTCTCCTGTTTCTCCTCTTTCTCCCCTCTTGCTCCCTTTCTCTCGACACGAGCATCCTGCCAGGGAAACAAGATCCCGAAAGATGGCCTCTGCCAGGGAAAAGCCGGGAAAGCTCGAGTCTCGCTTCTCAACTTGTTTGTCAGCAGCCTGTCTCGTCATCAGGCCATAAGCCAGGTTGGTGTTGCTGCCATACCTATACCTGCGTCGGGGTGGCGGAGGTGTCACCGTGTGTCAATGGCAACTGCCCCCCTTGCAAGGAGGAAACTTTGGGTCACTGGAGTGCATTGTCGAAGGCCTGAGAGGAGAGCCCACGGTCCAAAAGATTACAAAAGTCCATGAGAACTCCGAGCCAAGCACTTCCAGCAGTATGGGCAAGTGGCTCGCAAAGCCCAGCCTTGCAGTTCGCGAATAGAAGCAGTCAACATTCAGCCATGGTCATCATTGGGTCATCATGCTCAAAGCCACATGCACCCGCCTTTCTCGAGACAGCTGGAGCGACTTTACACATCGCTCGAACAAGGAGAACCTAAGAACACATCAAACCATCCTGCATTTTCCGCCAAGGAAACAATAACAGCAATCCCCTACAACGCTACCAACAAACTGTCGGGATAAGCTTTCCACAGGCGCGACGTGACTTCCATGCAGAGGCCGTCAGCAAATGTTGACACGTTGGCCAACGTGAAGAGGCTCATCTGTTGATTCGAGAGGTGGTGAGCCAAGCCATTTTGATGGAACCTTGCCTGCACGATGTTGTCATGGACTTTGCTCGCCTGAGAAAGGCAGTGCTCGGATCACGCTGCTTTGCTTGCTTGTAGACTCTTAGACTGGCCTTGCACTTACTGAGGTTCTCGTTGGCCTGCAATGACCCATGAACAAAACAAAGAGCAACATCGCACAACATGGCACAAAACTGTCTCTGAATGGCCTGGGCAAGCGCCGCCAAGGCCACGAAGTCGGCCCCAGTACCCTGGCAAAGCTGAACGCGGTGTACTGCGAATATCTGCGAATCCCTTTTTTCGCGGCCTCGAAATCAGGGATGCTATCTGGCAAGCTGCCATCGAAGTCCTCAGAGTAGCACTGCGCAGGCGCTGTCTCAGCAACATCCTCTGCGGCAATTCAACGAGATCCTCGTCCAACTCCACGCAGACTTCACGATACCTTCAATCCGCGTTGTGCTCTGCGGACGCTGCAGACACACGCACACAGACATGCAACCGCTGCACGAGGTGAGGTTGAGGAGAATCGCCGCCTGCAGGCCGCAGCAGCTGGCTGCAAAGCCGCTGGATTCGAAGTTTGCTGGACGCTCGCTTCATTGAAGCATTTGAGGTTAAGGTCTTTGACTTGACATTCATATTGTCTCGCACAAGTTGTAACGGAGTCCCCTTCCAGGAATCCAAAACGAGCACAGCAGTGGTCTCCAACTCAAATGCCCAGTCGAGAAGAATAATGAAGATATCGTATCACATGCTTACAGACTCTCGTGTACTATGTGCCCGGGCCTCGATCAGGCTCAGTGCAGTCTCGTCAACGTGCTCCGGGGCCTTGATCACGCGCGGTGAAAGTATTTTCAAGCTTCACTGGCGTCTCCCGACTCGCCTGGTTCGCGGCGAGCAAGATGCCCTCGATGAGGCTAACGATCTCACCTTCCGCCTTAGCAAACGCCATGCTGCCACGGCCACAGCCAGACACAAAGTCGAAAAAGCACCGCAGGCAACTCACAGCTGTCCAAACCGGACGGTGAGGGCTGCACGCATGCACCTGCCGCGAGTCTAGCTCTGGCTATCTACGTCGAATAGGTAGCCAACTCCCCATCAGCCTGTCGACTCCCTAGCCCACATGCAAACCCCCTACCACCCATCCCTACCACCCCTACCCCCCAACCACCCCTACCACCCCTACCACCCCTACCACCCCTACCACCCCTACCACCCCTACCTGCCACCCGTTTGGTGCCTTGCTCCACTGCCCTCCTTGTGGCATCATTCTGTGGCGCCGGCGTTTCATCATCATCACCATCTTCGTCACCATCATCATCATGATCATCATGATCATCATCATCATCATCATCATCATCATCATCATCATCATCATCATCATCATCATCATCATGACCATGACCACTTTGTACCTCCACATTTAGAAGTTGTACTTGGAGCCGGGAAGAAACCCAAAGACCGGCAGTATCAGGTCGACACTCGGATCGGTTGTCTTTCGCGTTGCCCTTTCCTTAAGAAAATGGTGGCCACAAAGATTCGTCGTGCCCAACATACCTGGCCCGCTTTTGCACCCTCTCCAACCTCGACGCGTGTGCTTCGGCCTCGATCACCATAGCCAAGGTGCCAGTAGCACCATTCATAGCGAACCTCACAATCCATGGGCGACCACCATAAGCATCAGCAAAGATCTCGACATCGGTGAACTCAGCTCTCTTCAAAGCCTCCACCACGTCGTTGCACGCCAAAGGCTGAGAAGTATCTCCAATGCATCCGGCCCCTCCCGCCCCGCTGGCCTCGCCCGTCCTTTCCACCCCACCCTTTGAGGCACGAGTCACTTGCAGCAGAAGTTCTTGGAGGGTTCGCATGCCTGCCCAAACCTCTGGAAATTGCATAACCTTGCTATTACGATGTACTTTACGCCATCAGTCAACCTCCAGCTCATCAAAGGTGGCTGCCAAAGCTGCCGTTAGCTTGGTTGCACTCGTGAAGCTCACCAGAGACAAGTCTGGAAGTCCAGCCTTCCAGCACCAATCGACATTTGATCAACTCATCTGCAGCTTGACACCACTGCATTGCTGGGTCTTCTTGACAGCTTGGCACATGTATCTCTTCCGAACTGCAAATGCAGCCACCATGGCCGCCCTGAGTGAAGTCAAGACTTTCCATGCAGAGCATGCTTGTCGAGGCCGCGCTACGCAGTTCGAGGGGGAGGATGCTTTGGGGGAGCGCGTTCAAAGGGCTGCGGGAGGCGCATGATGTCTAGGCGTCTTGGCACGTTGCAGACACGGTCGCGGTCGTCTTGAACGACACAAGACTTTCCACGTAGAGCACAGGAGACGTGGTCGATCATGCTCGTCGAGGCCGGACTACATAGGATGCGTTGGCGCAGCGTGTTCAAAGGATGCGAATATTATTTGAGCATCCGTCTCATATACACTGCACTACTTCAAAAGGATCTGAGAAGATGGGCTTATCCTCTATGACAACATTGGACGGCCAGGCGGTGGGACCACGGTCCAGATCCAGGGCATCCGTTCTCACCGTGAGCGTGCGCAATGTCAAGCAAAACATCCACCCGCTCAAGAGGTCGATTACGTTCTTTATTCTTATGCAAGTAGAGACAGATTTCACGAGCACACGTGTACAGAGCAGAGTGTGGACAGGGGATGACGAACAGAGACGACAAGACAACAGAAAGAACAAGAGAAAGAGAGAGGAATCGGACACATCAGCTCGGAGTTCGTGTCGCGTCTTACGTCCGTTATCTTCGCGGTGCACTTGACATGTATGCATTCGGATTCGTGGCTCCTATCAGGTTCGTTCTCATTTCCGGGGCTTGCAAGGCTTGGCTGCATATGACTTGGTGGCGGATCAAGTGGAACAGGATGGAACAGGTGGCCTGCCACGAACTTTGGGCAGGCCGTGAGGTGGAGAACCTGACTGGCAGTAGCTCAATCCCACAACAACGGAACGAAAGAATCAATAGAATGACTTACAGTGCCACGCGGCGAGAACGAGGAGCTCTGGCAGAAAGGGCGGCAACCTGTCCAACATGTCCAACACGTTCAGGAAACCTTGAATAGGCAATGTTCAGAGGTGCCTCATCGAACTCGGTAGGTAGCTTCCCTTTTCCTGAAGTCCACATGTGGGCATGCCCCGGCTTGAAACGCAGCTCTTGGCACGAGTTTACTTTTCTGCCTTGCTCACGGTGCCGAGCAAAGTCACGATGCCTTCCACCATGAATTCGACCTGCCCAGGATCCTGACGACCCTGTACAGTACTTGCACCGTACGGGTCATGGTGGGCCTCACCCGGAGAGCTGACTGCTGCGAGCATGTCTCGAAATACATTCTGCACAGGTGCACCTGCCAGGCCAAAAGAGGAATCGACGTCGCCCCCCATGTCTCCAACGGAATGCTTTCATCAAGCGTTGACCTTCTTCCTCGGGGATGGACTTCCGAGAAATTAGAAGCTCCTGCCAAACAGGTTTCTGCAGTGATCTTGCGATGGACTGTTCATGTGCATCCGTTTGCATCCATTAGCATTAGCATCTATTTGCGTCCTGCGGGCGCCGGCTGGCCACACTTGGCAGGATGCTCATATCACCTGCAGGGAAATCTCAAGAGGCTAGATGCCCTTGCATTCCATTCGACAATGTGCCTTGGCAAAGCGCAGCATCACGTACATCTTGCAACAGAAGCCCAACAGCCTCTGCAATGCGACATTTATCCACCCTGGAATGTGCATTTCCATGACAGTGCCCGCAAGCCTGAATACACAAGTGGGCGAAAGCTTCTTGCTTTGCCCCCGTGAAGTAGCCACCATAGGGCAATCCGAACCCATGAGGGTCATAGCCTCATAGTGCCCACGATCTCTCGGTCAAAAAGTCAAATGAGCGCATAAGAAGAAACGAGGGTCATTGCAACGGCCCGAGTGCACCGAGGGCAAGACCCAAAGCAACAGACACCAACGAGTAGAAAAGCTCTGCTCGAAAGGGTATTGTCCTATCGGTGCATCCTCGACATTCTGTGACTTGTCTCGCTAATCAAATCTAGTCAAGCTTCAGGGAACCCATCCTGGTAGGGTCAGAAAGATATGCGAGAGGGCGAGCGTCGGGAATCAGAAGCCTCTGCAAGCTCACAGCTTGTTCAGAAGGCTAGACATGCTATGACATGCTCCATGCGGCCTGGAAAGCCTTGCGTTGACGGAAGATCCGTCATCACTGTTGCTGTCCTGAAAGCCCGTCATGTCATGCCAGCTGGAGGATTAACCGCTTCACAGACCAGGCAAGGTCGATCCAAGTGCAGCAGAAGCAGATCATGAGCAGCATACGCAAACAGTCGCAAAACACGGTTGACAAGCCTGGACGACAACTGCAGATGGAGCACCGGCTGCAAGGAGGGCCAGCAGAAGTTGCAGGCCGACAACCCTCGATTAGGCACAGCCAATGGCTTTGTATGGCATTGTGCGACGTGTTGATACATGTCTCTATCAAGATGGCGACTTGCAGGCCTGTTTGCCTGCATGTCGCTGTTCTTGGGCTGGCTTGAGCCTTCTGGTCCAACTCCTTCTTGCCTGACGCATTTGCAAGCATTCGCAAGCTTGCCTCTGAAGGAAAACCAACGGGCGTACCATATCAAAGCCGGCACCATGCCATCGACCTCCTCCGCCTCATCAGCCTGCCGGTTTGGTGGCGCACCTCTAAGGGGCTCCGGCAAACAAGCCATCCCGCCTCAGAAGTATCTGGCTCTTCGATTGTGAAGCCATCATGAAACCTGTCTGGAGGAAATCTGGTGGGGAGTGCAGCTACGTGCCGTTACCTGAAGATTCCGGTGAATCCAATCAGGCCGATTGCACAGCGCCCGCAGTGCAGAGTCGGCAATGCGCTCTCCTAGCGGCTTGGTCTCAGATGCAGATACCTGCGCAAAGGCGTTTGTAGGACGAATGGCGACTTTTGACTTAGGAAGGGGCACTGTCCACAAAGTCTCCACGAAGGATGCATTGGCTGCTTCGTGAGGCGCCTTCCCATGCGTGAACTGCGCACAAACCTCCACCTCGCACGCCCTCAAACCTGACTACTCCAAGTGGCAAACGCCGTAAACGCCTTAACATCCTCGGTTGTGTCAGCATTTCCTCAGCGAGCAGTTCCAGCTGCGAGCTCAGGCCGCTGACTCGAACTGCGGGACTGCCTCCAGCCGCTGGCAGTGCGGCCAGAAGATATGACATGACCTGCAGCTGCTTCTGAATACCTTTTGAGTTTGGGACCCGGTATGTGCTCTCCAAGTAGGCCAGCTAGGCTCACTGCAAAGAGTGCATTAGCAAGGACCGTCTCAGCTGCTTCATCAAGGTCGTCAGCCTCTTGCAGGAGCGAGGCAGATTTGATGCAGATGGACTCATTGGATCTGCGGTCCGTGCCTTCTTGGCCAATTCGGTCTCGACTGTCTCAAGGCAACGTACGATCAGAGCGTGAAAGTTCTCGGGACCTACAACTCGCCACAGAAGAAAGATAAGGAAATATGAGGAACAGGACGATTCTTGTGCAGAACTATGCTCGTGCTGCGCTGAGTGCTCAGGTCGCCACACCGGCCCAAACAGGCTACAAGCGACTCTCGCCTCGCTCAGGGTGCTGCAGGGTCAATATGTCACCTGGGATGAGCAGTATCAGCCTGGGATGGTTCTCCAACTCCTCCTGGCAAAGCGCCAATGCCAAAGAAAGGAGATCACGCCAAGAAGCAAAGAGCAGACACAAATGGGCACGACTGTGCCTCCAAGTTGCTCAAACTTAGTAACCGGTCCAAGACCTCTGGTGAGACTCCAGGACCTTGGCATCACCATTCGGGGGCACCACATCAACACAACGCTGGTGGCCCGTCCTAGAAGTTGGGAGGATAGCTCCTGAGAGGCACTGGAAGGCCCAGTTCGCGCTCCAGGCACGTCTCACCATCCTCACGTGTCATGCCCTGGTCCTCCAGAACATCACCGGCGGAAGCTTTGCCACCGATGAACCCCAGAATGCGCCTCACGAATCACACCATCTGCGCGCTCAAGCTACAAGCCAAGCTGTAGCACTGACGCAAACTGACGGGCCTCATGGTCACGCTTTGGCCCGAGTTGAACCCATATCAAGTTGTAGCAAAGAAAACACTCTCGTCTGGACTGTTTCAGCAACAACTTTGCAAAGTGCAGCAACTAGTGCATGGCGAGTCGGAGTGCTGTCGTGGCTTGGTTCTTTAGAGCTGGCTGCACTAAAGCGGGGGGGTGGGGCCAGACGGCATAGTCTGTCGGAAAGTCTGGAACTTGCTAACGCTACTAGTTGATACGGAGCCTTGCATGCAGCGGGATACAGGTAGCTCCATTCAGAACTGAAAAAACCCTCTTGGCTATCCCGAACTATCGCGTTTCCACCTGTCTCCGATGGGAAGAACCTTCACGAAACCAGGCCTACTTCAACCATGTTCAACCTCATTCTTGCTCTCACCACCTCTCTATGGGCTCATGAGATATCATGAGCTTGCAGCTCAGCTCATGTGTTGAGCTCATATACTCAGCGAGCACAGCCATCCAAGCATCTCTGATATCAGCAAGGTCGTGTCACACTTTTGCGTCATGCGCTGGTCAACTCACTAGTTCCTCACGGGCTTCCTGGCATCAAGCATTACACTGCACTCACATTCCCACTCACCACTGATGCCACTGATGCCGCAATTGTCGTCATCGCAATGGTGACCTTCCGGCACAGCTCTGGCCAGCTTTAAGCTGTGGTGCTTTTTGCCGGTTGCTCTGGCCTCCTCTGGAGAGTTGACGGCTAATGCCTTCGGCCACGATGGAAGCAGCAGCCAACCTGCCATCATCAGCTTAAAAATGCCCTTGTGGCAGCTGGGCCCCTTGAGACTTGTCTTGGCCTTATGGCCTTTTGAATCGTTTCGGCCCGACCCCTCGTGATTCTCGTCTGTCTCTCCATTCTGAAGTTCGGGGGCTCTTCGGTGCAGGGCTTGCTGGCATCCCACATCGAAAAACGGGCCAGCAGGACACACAGCCAATTGTAGGATCGGAAGCACCTAAGCGAATGAACGTTTAGCGCTGAATGCGTTTAATGTCGGTGAGATGCACCTTGATGCACATTTGGTGCATGTCCGTAACGCATTCCTGCCCATGAGATGGCTGCCTGCACAGGGCAATATCGGGCAACGTGCAAAACAAACAGTACAGCTGAGGAAGGGACAACCGAGCAAGACGTCTCAATGCCTGTTCAAAAGCCGAATGAAACTTGGACCGGCAAGGGGGTGCAAAGATGCATACTTTCATACCATCTCCCAGGAACACAGCTTTTGCGATGGTGAACGGACCTGCCAAAGGGCAATGGCGCAGCTGACGTGCAGGCCGCTGACCAGCAAGCCATAAACAATACCTTGCGGGACACGTGACACGGGGCCATGTATCGCATGGCATGGTCGTAACCCGAGCCAGCACCTGATGGTCTCCGGCCATGTCCCAAGAGGAGGCCGATGCCAAGATGTAGTGACAAGTACAGAAACTTGTACCTGGAACAAAAACTGGAACAAAACAGCCAATGGTGCAATGGTGCAAACTCCCCCCGCATTCGAACAACGGCCCCAAGCTGGTCGGCTTTGCCCAAGCAAGGCCAATAGATCTAGTGTTGGCGTGTTGACCTCGGCTCTCTTCATGCCATGCTCCTTTGCCTTCCGTGAGTAATATGCTGACTGCTGCCGTGGTATGCTACGGCGCTCAGCCGAAGGAACATGAAGTGAAAGCTCACTTAGTCACTTATCAGAAAATGCTGATCACATTTCAAGGCAGAAGGCATTGTCTCAGACCAACAGCACTGGTCCAACACCATGGCCCCCCGCACTTCCCTGCCCACGGCGATGCTGCATGGGAGGAGGCCGAGATGCAAGGCTGGCAAGGGGAGCATTGAAGCTGTGAATGGCACAATACTTCGCAGCAAAAAACAACGCTGCGGGGAGGCGACAGCTTTGGGGTAAGCTGAGCTGCAGAGACATGCAGAGGCGGAAGGAGACGAGGTGGCACAACAATATCTGCAAGGGCAGCTCTCCAGGGCTAAGCTGCACAAAGACCGGGACGAAGAAGCAACAAGGAAACGGGGCAAACCGGCCAGCACCCGGGAAACTGAAGGGGTTTGAAGCGCAGAATTCGCCACAGAAAGTTTCACAACCCCTTGAAGTCGCATGGTAGCATTCTGCAGAACACAGCGTAGCGGCTTAGCATTCCTGACTTTGCTTTGGGAAATTTCAAAGATCTGCACACCTTTTCTAGGCATTACTTCGATCATGCACTGCCAGTTTCCGTGGTGGCGTTCGTCACTGCGGCTCCATGCCGAAGAGGTCTACCCGCCTGCCCGCCTAGTGCCTGCAAGATGCCCTGTCATGTCAAGTTCCCTGAGCGATAGGATCCTGCTGTTGATCGTGTCTTTCGTTGAGGCTGTAGAGGGCTCTACAACAATAGCAGAACTTGTCCATCTGCACGTTTGCAGGCACTAACCGGCACTTGCCATGGTTCTGAAAACCTTTGCTTTAGCTGCACCAGAAAAGTATGAGCTCATTCTGATGTGGAGTTGGATCGTAAGTCAGCATGCAGCATATAGCTCACAAGTGATTCGGCAGCTACGATGCCGTTGCACAATCTGGGGCAAGACCTGACAAAAACAAGGTTCGAGATTGCCACAAGTAGTGCATGGTGAATTTGAGCAACAGATGAGATGTTGGTAGAAAGTATTGCTGTTGGCTGTTGAAGTTCTGCTCGCGATCAAAGACACGTAACAACGACTTGGTGCAGACGTGATGCAGCTCCAGCCATGAAGAGGGCTCCCTTCATCAAGGCCATCTCAACAACAAGAATGACCTTGGCGTCAGTAAGCCGTGCGAGAGCAATGGCCACGCAGAGCCCTCAGACATCTGCCAAAGCAGAGCTGATAGTCGCAGAGAGCACTTCGGGAGCAAACGTCTCCTGTCCATCTCACCCCCTTATCATGCTGCATGCTGCAGCGCACAGTCTGCACAGTCCTGGATGCCCCGCACGACGCCATACAGCACCACCTCAGATCGCTGCCCTTCTCCAGACACGTAAGCTCGTTAAGCACCGACTAAGGCCACCCACATAAGTGACAAAACCCATGGTCGGAATGTACAAGTCAGGCTCCTGCAAAGCTTGAACAAGTGTTGCTTGCCCTCGCGTATGCCCCTGGAAAACCCTGAGGACCTATGCTTGGCAGAAGCTCCCGACTAGCCCCCCCCAACCCACCCCACTGCACCATCACCGCAGTCAAGCCCGGTGTGTCACCACGGGCGCAGGGAGGATCGTATCTGCGGACCTTGATGCCGACATGCCGAATATGCCGACACGCTGTGGGCACCGAGCAATGTCTCGGGGTATCGGGGTTCGGTGTACGGGCGCAGGTCTGTTCTGCGACCACAGCCTGCGAAAGCCAAGGCTGTACGGTCCGGAGCCGATGCGGCGAAACCATCCTCGGTTTCCCTCAATATACCTAAACCTGAATGCCTTCCCTGCTGTGTTAACCCAACAAATACTGAAAGTCCCGAGCAATGACAAACAGCAGGGTCTAAAACATCCAAATGCATGTCTGCGAGCCCGGACACGAAGTTTCAACTGCTGTAGACAATGTCCGGCATTAATCACAGACCACACCAAAGGGCATTGAGGGCCAAACCCTAGAAGCCACAATCCTCATTCGCCAACGTGTCCCCGCCCAACAAAACACGAGTATCCAAAGCTGTCCTTTCAGTCCCAACATGATGCTGTTTGCAGAACATGCACAAGCAAAAAACTGCGGCATGGACGTTGCAAGAGCAGGCCCGTGAACACTTGCGGGCAGGAAATCTCCTCGATGTCAACTTCAAGGCCATCGATGATTCGAACCGTCCAATCCTCTCAAGTGCACCACAGAGAACTGGGCCATTCTTGCCGCGGCAGATGCTGCAAGCATGACCCTCTCGGACGGGAAGCTCCTTGTGATTGCCCAGCTCGCCGTCTGTGGACTTCTTCTTTGTGCTGCAGCAGGGGGCATCTATATATATATACTCGGAAAGCACACCGCGAACTTTAAAAGCTGCCGTCGCTGGTTCATTTGATTCCTTGATTTCGCGCATGCTTGTGAGAGACAAGCGGGCATTAACAGCTCTGAGAAGCCATGGTGTTCCGTGAAAGGCAGTTGCATATCAGCAAGGCGGCTTGACTGCATGCCTGTGCTTTTTCAGGACATTCATTCATGATCATTCATTCGTTTGGGCGTTGCCGGAACGCCCAGCTGAAGATTGCTAATTGGTCAGACTCAGAGCAGCGGCTTCTCCATGCCTGCACAAGCTGCACAGATAGGTTGGGCCACTACAACCGGGTGGAAGAACTCAAATAAATCTGTTAAAGGTCCAAAACAAAAACGCTCAAAAGCTGCAAGCTGAGCCTCGGTTTGGCGACGCCGCCTGCAGGTGCACCAAGAACAAAACTGCAAAAACTGCTCGGCTGTCCCACGAAACCATTCGTGCGTCATGGCTCTGGCAAACATGAAACAGGGGAGTCGGCACTTGAAACAAAGCAAAGCTGGCCTGGCCAGGAGACCATGTGGCCTCTCCTTCGGTTCTGGAGCAGACAGAATGGAGACACGGGAACTAGCAGGGCATCGCGCAGAGCAACGTGCAGAGCATCGTGCAGAGCAACGTGCAGAGCAAGATGCAGGCCTGCACCACAGGCGCAGCACCGGCCTGAGCAGGGCTTCAGCTACGGCGAAGTGCTACAAGTACCATGTGAGCTTGTCTCCATGATGAGTTTTTTTCCATACCCATGCTACTTTGAGACTGTAGAGGTGAAGCTAGAATGACTAGGATCCCCTGCTGAGAGCGCCATCCTGGCTGACCCCTTAACGATCCCCTGTCTTTGGTGTCAACCCAGAGTTCTGCCTGGGTGCTCTAATCGGACCCTCTTTTGGCAAAGAGTCGACTCCTGCCAGCCAGAAAACCTAGAGCACCGGCATCGGACATTTCATGTCGACTCCTCTCAAACAGCGGACCTGCCATTCAAACGCAACATAGAAGAGCTACTGGAACTACGTGGTGGCAGTGACAATGTCCAGGGCAGCGGCACGAAAGAAACGTCGTCCACAACAGCATTGTCACCAACACCCCTCGAACCTCAACGAACGAGACACCACGCAGCTCTGCAACATGTATCAACATGTACTCTTCAAAAACCTTCAGTAGAAGTGGACGGGCTGGCTTGCTTTGTTCCGCTTGGCTTTCAGAGGTGGGCACATTTGAACCCAAGCTAGCCAAAACTACCTCGTTTCCAGGGGGCAATGCAGGTTCTCCCACCTGCTAATTGGCATGAAGCCGTCTTATGCGATTGCAGTTCTTCCATGTCCCTATGGAGGGCGAAAGACCAACAGCTCGCCAAAGAAACGCTGCTGCGGTGAGGAACCAGGGAACCGGCGCATGCAAGGAAGGGTTGGCTCACCTAGCAGGCGGAGCTACAAGGCGAGCAAGGGGAGCAAGGCGAGTAAGGATGCCCAAATGAATCCCAACTGGACTGCGTCCGACCTGTGCACTACAGGCCGAGTGTTCCAAGTGCTTCTCGCAAAGCCTTGGGCGACCCAACCATCTCCAAGCACCCACACGATTCTACAGGCAGGCAAGCTGGGGGAGCTGGCCAGCCCATGGCAAGAAGACTTGTCAACCAAAGCAACGGCCTTCAGTTCATGTTTCATTCTCAGTCGGTTCAGGAGATTATGTGACAAGCCATGTTGCCACAAGCATCTGGGATGCAGACATTACAGCTCCGCGAGTACCAGCAACAGCAAAGGCGAATGCCACGGAGAGAAACTGGAAAGCTTCAGCGAAAGCTTCAGCTGCTCAGGGCCACATCGAGAGCCAGACAAGATGCGGTGCCATGCGGTGCTAGGCTTTGCTAGGCGGTGCTAGGCCTCTGGCCAAGCTTGCCTCATGCAACTCATCGCCAAGGTACAGCTTCTCAGCCTCCTCCGCCTTCATCTGGGGAAGCCGTCGACAGCCCACAGCATTGCTGAAACTCAGAAGCCGGCCGCTGGGAACGGGCAAAGCCGCTGCACCTGTCTTTCGCAGCACAAAGCATGCACCAAGCACGCACGGCACGCGCTGCCTACACGCCCACACTGGGTCTGGCACCAAGTAGTCACACAGAAGCCAGACAAGTGTACCTGGATGTGACATCATGTGACATTCTTCCAGCAGACCATGCCTCCATATGCCTCATATGTCAGCACAGGCACACGCAAGAACCAGCATTCGGTCTGAGACTGCTGTCAGCTCCACTTCCTAAGCCACTCAGCCTCTCCACGGCATAACGGATGCAAAGCCAACAGAGGCCCGTCAAAAGGCCGCCACAGCGGTGTGGAGAAATGCCAGGTCGGCCTACCAACGCAACGATGCGCATCTACGGATTGGCCCGCTGTAGCCACTGTGGCCCGTCCTCCCCAAGTTCACCTGCCATGGTTTCAACGACTCGGCATTTCTCGTCCCATACTCTGGACACGCATGAGTACCACTACTGCAGCGAGTGACAGTATCAAGATGCTGGCTTGTGTGTGGTTGTTCGCTGTTCAACTTGTTGGTGCACATGGGTCTGAAGTCAGACATCGAGCCAGGGCAACATGCACAACTTCCAAAAACCTTCTCAAGTAGCAAGCTGCTGCAACGCACGCGCGAACACCTTTTGCCAAGTCAGCAATCGACGAAAACCACGAATCTCAAGTGTGTCCCAGCCTGCAAGGCGCTGTGGGATTCTCTCGGGGGCATCTCTGCAGGATAGTCGGGGGTGGGCACTCCAGCAATGTTCCGCGGAGAATCTCTCTGGTGGTGACGCTGGGCACTGCAGGCATACTCCGGGACGAAGAATGTCGAAGAGAATCCTAGTGACACCCGCACCAGATATCCCACCCCGAACAACACCCTATCTCACAGAGAATCCCCTCGAGCGCAAGTCGTTACAACTAGTTTACGAGTGGGCGGACTCGAAACAATTTTGGGGTTTTTGGGTTTGCGTCTGCGGCTTTCCTGTTTAGGAGTTGTTTGAACCACTTCGGGGTTCCCTCGGCATGGGTTTGGGGTTTTACGATGTTCGGGTGCAGTGTTGCGAGGTTTGGCACTGCGAGGCTTTAAGATGTACTTGAGAGCAGGGGGAACGAAAGCCAGGGCCCCGAAGGTGGCATGGCAATTGCTGCGCGGCAGGCAGGGCTTACGTGCAGTTGCCGCAGCAAAGGATTCGAACTTCAGGGGAGTCGCAAGCCGTAACTTGGATGGCCTGGCAGAATTTTGCTTGGGCATTGGGTTTACACTTTTCGCGCAGAATGTGGACATAAGATGCAGATCTGTGTATCTGTCCCGTCTGTCCCCATTGACCCACATACCGTCCGTAAGCACATCCAATCGCCAAAGCTAGCGCGCAGCATGGTCCCCCTGTGCCGTACCATTTCGTAGCGTCCGTCACCAAAGATTGCGTCGTTCTCGCTCGCATGGCCCCCCAGACCCGTGCCATCTGTGGCACCGCCAAAGGTCCTGCGCTCCGCAACGAAAGCCCAAGACGCGAGGGCTTCTGAGAGAAAGCAACGACCTGTACAACTAGGCCCCTGTGTCCAGAAATTCCTCAGGCGGATCAGCATGATCCACCTGTTCAAAGGCTCCCAAGGTCGCATGCACCAGGCCAGCTCTTTTTTGCTCTTGAACCGTGCGAATTCCGTTACAACCCCAGGGCCGGCCCCGAGCCCGGCCGCAAAGGAGGACGCACAGGGACCGCTCACCATAGGTCTTGCTGGACCAAGGGCGTAAACATGCGGAAACCGAACCAAGCCACACAGGATTCGCCTCCTCAATGGATGCATGAAACATGGAGAGCGGTGCTTGATAAGGCAATATGCACTTTGAAGTGAGTCGACCGAGCATTCAGTATAGATTGTGACTGGTAAGAAGAGCCCGTCTAGCAAGGATTCTAAAGATTGAACCCTGAGGTACGCAGAAGGCCGACCACTCCATGCTATACATCATTGTTTAAATAAAGTTCCTGCCATGTTGTGCAGTGCTGAAACACACAGCTCGAGACAATGATGGGAAAAGATCATGGGCATAAACAACGTAGGGAGTTGTTCTGGGGAAGAAAACAGACTGGGGAGAGAACAAGAGAAAAAGAGCGAGAGAGAGAGAGAGAGCGAGAGAGAGATGGAGCGAGGGCGAGGGCGAGAGAGCATCGTCACAAGCAACGGACCCATGATACTGGGGGGTGTCCGAGCCTGATCAGGTCTGGTCCTTGCCTTGACTGGGCAAAGCGTGCTTCTCCGATGCCTTCATGGGGATCCCTAGCTGCTAGCTGCTCCTGGCTCTCAGCTCAAGGCATAGAAGGGATTCTCACGAATCGTTGCCGGGTGTCCGTGCTCCTCGAATGGCAAAACTGGTTCCCAAGCGCACCGAACAGCTCCCTCGAGCTCTCGAAGGCACGCAAGAGCACTTGCATAGAGCTGCACGTACGAGTAACGCAGCTCCTGGCAGATCTTCTGTACCATCTTTGCCTGCCAACGCAAAGCTATTAAGCATCTGACTGCAAGTTTGCAAGTCTGGAACTGTGTGGTTCTGCCAAACGTGCTCCTCAAAGGGGTAGAAGCATGCGAAGATGCACTTGCCGCCCGGCTGGCAACTGGAAGCAACAACGCCGTCCCACGATTGATGCACATCTTGACAGAGCAGCTCCGAGATGCCTCTTCAGCACCTGGCGTGTGGGAATGTGTTGTGTGTGCTTTTTTAGGTGTAGCACCACGGAGCCGGCATCTGTAGAACTGCACGTTTCTTGAAACAGGCTCTAATCTCGAGATGCTCTTGAAGATTCGTGTGCTCGTGTTGCAATTGTGGGTCTGTGTGTGTAGGCCGTGACTTTCCCCAGGCTATGGGGTCTGATCAACCCCACGTGCCTTCAACAGAAGGTGATTGGTATGTAGTATGTTGCAGTCACATTCCAGGTGCAGACTTGAACATGTTGCAAACCCAGAGCTGCCCCTGTGGCTTATGTGCAATCCGTCGTGAAGCTGTACAGGTTGTCTCTGCCTCTTTGATATGCCAAGTATATCTTTGTGTTCGCTGGCTTGGGAGGGGGGGGGGGCGTCGAAAAAGGTTGCCGCAAAACTGGGACCTGTTAATCAACAAACTAAACTTAGATGAAACTACTGACTCCTCGGTCTTCTAGTAAAACAAACAGCCATGCGACTTGCCATACCAGGGTACTACAGGTAGTAGAAAACACAGCAAAGCCCAGAGTAACACGAACAATCATTATACTACAGATATTGAGAATATTGCTGACGGCGCCATCATTGCAACCAAGGCTCGTTAGCCATGATGCGCCGCCACAAAGCTTCACAACCGACACCCATCACGAGCGGATGTATGCCTACAAGGGCGCACATGTGTGTCACGCCGCATGTGCAGCCACCTTATGCACTTCTAAATACATGCAACCACGAACTTCACCAAGCGTGCCCCACAGCGCGTCGCCTAAGACGAGTCCAAAGTGCGCAGCCGGAAGCTGCTCCTTGGCCAAATCCTGCGGACTGAGTCAACCCAAGGGAAAATAGTCCAGCACTCACAAAGCACATCAGCAATCGCTCTCTGGATCCGCACCTGCTGCTGAAAGCACAGGCTGCACCGATCACCATAGACTTTAGCAGTCCACTCCTGGAAAACTACCACCACAGCGAGAATCATCTAGGCAATCAACCTCACCGACTCGCAGATACTCGCGGCAACAACAGCAAGTTCGACCACTGTGCAACGCTACACTCACTGCTGTGAACTCCTCCCAAGCTGGCCACCAATACGCAGAGGGACTGCAGCGCAGATTGTGCTTCGATATCTCTTGGCTGCTTCTTCCGCCATTCGCTATAGCCGCTAGACTTCATGCAGCCTGTCATCCACATCACAGGCGTGGAGCTGCAACGCTCCCCTGCACCAGCACGAAGCAATGACTTCTCGACCACAAAGTGATTTCAAGGCCCCTAAAGTAAGGTCCGTGCTTGAGGTTTGAAACCAAGAATGGCAGCAGCTGAGGCGCCTCGCAGTGCACGATACCGACGATACAGACGATACGTGGTAGTGTCATGTAGTGTCTTTGACGATCTCACGGAGACGCTGAAAGGCGTCGCATCGAGCCGACGGCTTCACGAGCCTTAGGTCCCCCCGCCTCGGACAGGGCACCGCAAAATGGGATAGAGATCCTGACAGGCCGCACGAAATGCCAAAGTGGCGTGTAGGATTTTCGAGATCTGTACGACACACTGTGGGGCCTGACGAGTGGAGGATTGCCACTGCCATCAACACTTGGGATGTTCTGGCAACTGCTCTTGTGCAACAGATCTGAGTCTCAAGTAACGTATGTTCATCACCTCACTCCATGCTGGCCTGAAGCAGACCCCATGATAAAATGGCATCCAGGAAAGCTGCATAAGCCTGAAAGCCGATCCATAGCTGCAACCACCGCGTTCCCTTTTCAGACACGACAAGGCCTGGTCGCGCTCGGCTGGTCGCCGGCGTGATTCCTGGCTGGCACTGTGAACAACTGACCGATGTCGCAGCTGCTGCGGCTAAAGAGCAAGCAAATTCATCCTGCGCGACATCACTTGTTGACTCAACAGCAACAAACAGCAAAAACAGCCTCAAGCGCCGGGATGAACTTTGCCAGCGAAAGTCCTCCAGGTTGCCACCTGGGTCTTCCGCTGTAATGTCATGTGATATCTGTACACCGCCTAGCCTATGCCTCAATATGCCTCCCTCCTGTAGCCGCCCGGCTCTGGCCGTTCAAAAGGATCCCTACCGGGACTCTACCGAGACTACCCATAGAGTTTAAACCAGGGATATCCTCATGCTCCGCCTCAGGACACCGGAGTTGAAAGATGCTATTGAACAGTTTGGCTGTTGCTGGCAATGAAATGCGAATGCCTGTTAGTCAGAACGGGAACAACAGGCCTCGGGAGGAACATCCGTGGCATGAACCGACCCCCATTGATCGCTGCGGCACCTTCGAGCTGGCGTCGACGCTGTCTGCGAAACAGCGCCCAAGCAGAAGTGCGGAGGAGGTACTGAAGGAGGTACTGGTGTCAGCCGCATAGTAGACTGCGTCGCAGATGCTGCAGGTCGGCACATTGCAACCGGAGCTCGCGTCACCAACATTGATGAAGGAGGTAGATGCGCAGTTTGCTGTTTGCAGGGGTCTGGGCAAGGGTATCCAGCACGTAGGCATGGTTGCGGCACGGGTGCAAGAAGTTGAACTGCGCCATTCGACAAGTGTCCTGCTGAGCAGGCTGCATGAAAGCGCTAGAAGAGCGTCAAGAGATCTGTTGCTGCATCTGCATTTTATCCTGGCAAGCTTTCAAGGTGCTCGCATATGCTCGCATACTCTCATCGTTTCAACGGACCGATTCTTGTCAGAAACCATAGGAGCAAGCAGGCAAAAGTGGTGGACTATGGATGAGGTACTCGTAGCTCTATGCCAGACAGATGTTGTCTGAAGACGCGTGTAAGAAATGAATGCAACTGATCGCACCTGTAATGAAAGAGTATTGACTTAGCGTTAGAATTCAGCCTTATGGTTCTGTGGCTAGGCAGGCAGGTCCTGCGGTAGCTCCATTAGGCAAGCACGGAAACCACATTCCACCGTTCGCGGCACTGGGCTGCGATTGTTGCCACATCATGGAAACGTTGGGTGGGGTAGCTGCAATACTGATACTGACAAGTGCGCATGACTCCCTTCTAGCGGAATGAAAGAAATTGGACAGCATTGCTTTGAGTGTTGCGTGTGCTGTTCGACGCACTAGAGCTGTGAACCAATGTCAAGTATATGTCAAGTATCACCAGCAAAATGGCCCAACAGAGCAGTGGCACTCATCAAAGAGCTACAAAACATGCAGTTGCAGATGGTGCCAAACGGGGCCTGTGAAATGGCATTAGCTGCCACAGCAATTTCCGAAGCACATACCCATGATGAACCTTGGCGAAACCAGTCCAGATGAACTGTCAGGAATCCATACTGACAACTGTCAGAGACTGCATGAAACATGTCATCCAGGCCGCAAACATTGAAGTACCGTCGTGCTGTCTGGACAAACTGTGGCCAAAGGCTCAGCGAACCTGTCAAAAGCTGCCCTTGCCCCTGTGACATAGGGAAAAGGGAATCACGCCGAGCGCACTGGAGGTCAGTTCACGCGCAAATTGATTCATCATCGCGCTGGTGACTGCATCGGAGATGTTTGGAGCCTAGCCAAGCCGGGGATAGCCGGGGAAAAGTTCGATTCTCAGATTGACGACTCATCGAAGCGCTGCAAAAAGCCCTGCTTGGACCTCCGCTCGGCCAGCTGACACGCTGGACCGCCCAGATGGCCCGGCCACGCTACCTGCCGATGCCCCACCACGAGTGCCGACGTCCTTCAAGGCAGGAACGACGCAAAGACAAAATCGATCTCCCAAAGTAGGAAGACTAAAGAACTCTGCCACCTCCCATCCCAAGTCTTTGTCTGGCCCATCCATTGCAAGAAAGGACAAGCCACTCGCGGCACGTCTCTAAATCTCTTGGGAAATCCCGCATTGGCAAACAGCGCAGCTCAAGACTAAGAAAAACAATCGCTGATGGAGTCTGTGAAAGGAGGTTGTGTTGGTCTGTTGAGCTAAGCAGCCACAGAGTATGGTCCCTATAGTCAATCATTCTGTGTCGGAAGGCTCCTGACTTGAGACTTTGTTCGGGAAGTTGGGTGCACATGCAAAGAGCATGATTGCAGCATGATGTAATTCATGAACTCAGGAAGAAAGCAATAAGAAGCACCTCTCCCAAGAACATCGCTTCCCGACTTCTTCTTGTTTTGCCAGATGACCGGAGCTCGGCGGTGCATCGCTCCATTCGCTCCTGCTGTCTTGAACAGAACCAGGCAGGACCTCGTTTGATCGTATCGGTCACACCCACAGGCACCTAAAGGCACCCATAGGCACCCATAGGTACCAGTAGGCATTCTGGGAGGAAAGGGGAGAGCCAGTGCATCTCTGTACTGCGCGGCACCGGCCAACTACCACTCCAGCCCTGCAAAACATAAAGTTTTTGAAGCTGCAGAGTCAGCTCTGGGTATGTGTCATGGTGTGTGTGCGTTGGTAATTTTCGCATTATTGGATAGCTTCCAGATCACGCACAGTGCCGGACTTATCCTGCCATGCTTTCATGGCAAGGCGTGCATTAGCCAGCCACGCGGCTGTCAGGTATCATGTACAAGTATTCTGACAACACGCGTAACATCTCCATCACAGGCAACTAGTAAATCTCGCAGCACCTCTCGCAATCAAAACAGATAATGCAGGCTTGCATTCTGCATAACAGCGGAGGAACCTCATCACTTCCCAGCCGGAGTTCGCGCAAAGTGGCAAGGTTTTTCTCAAACCTTGACTGAGACGCAAGATCAGAGCACATTCACACCACATCACAAGAAGCTGGGTGCTACTTTAAGCCAAGCACTCTTCATCCGCACTGAGCCCCTCGTTTCTTTGCTCTTCTTGAGGATGCCATCCTTTGGACCTTCTCCAACCCTTCTTGCCTTTGCCCTTACCCCAGGGCATGTGATCTATCCAAGGCAAGTCCTGACAGGCCCGATCTCAGCGGAAGGATGTTGCCAAGCTCAGGTTTCTTGTCAGTCCTGCTGTCCATCATCCGGTTGGCCAAACTCGGCCCCAGGGATGGGAAAGTTGCCAAAATGATGGAATCTTGGCTTGCGCAGGATCTACACGGCAACGGTGTGTAGCCATGCTGCAAGCATTGCTGATCCGGCAAGGGCTGCACGGGAAGCTGCCAGGAGCCCCTGCAGTTTACGGACGGCTTACACAGACCGTGAAATGAAGCAACACAAGCACCATCCTAAAACCTACTTGTGGCGGAAATTGACCATATCCTCACACATAAACCCCATCTCCATAATCTGCCAGCCATTTCCACCCAGTGGACTTTACCATGGTTCCACTGCCATTACCCACTATATGTCATGCCCTCGTCAAAACACCAGACGCGCGCACTTCGCACAGGTTTTGACCCCCCCGCTGGGCTCTCAGACCTGCTTATTGTCTTATCACCCACTCCCCAAGGCAGTAAACATATACACAGCCGGTTCTTGCCCCGACCAGTATCATGCTGCAACTGGCAACCCAGCGGGGTGAGCGTTTACGTGTAAGACAGCGCTCACGAACTCAGTTGGCCTGAACCTTCCCCACCCATTTGTAGGTTCTACCAAGTCAGGCGAACTCCAAGCCATTCTTGAAGCCTTGGATTATGTGCTGAGCCATCGCTCCTATGACCAGATCCAGGCAGTTAACAGTTATACAGACTCTCATGCAAAGATTATCTTCTACGAACGCAACACACAGATTTGCTCCTCCTTACGCCTGAAACCTTGGATCCTCTCCTCACTCCCACCCAGTCGCAATGTGCACAAAGTCGTAGGGAATGGTTTCACATTGACGCTCTAGAATCCCAGCTGGACGAACAGTCAGACCTTTGACTTGCTCAGCGCTGTCGAGAGAGAGATAGAGAAAGATTTGCGGTTCAGTGCATGTTTTCGGGCTTGGTGATTTAAAGTTGTTAGGGTCAAGGAAGATGATTTTTGGGCAGCCTCCCAAGTTTGCTGTTCGACCCACGTAAGCTGCCTGGCCTTGCTTATTCGGAGCTTGCTTGCCTTTAAGAGGTACCATCGCCGTCCTGAGCCTCCCTGGCTTTGCTTAGCCCGCTATGACCCACCTCTACCGGGCTCCCATGCACCCCATGGTAAAAACGAGCTTTTGGAAACATCGTATGTCGCCCTAGAAGTGCTTCTTGGATTTCAAAGAGCTCTTGGCAAGCTCGTTCTGGGAAGCTAGATTTGAAGCTTCTGGTTTTAGGAAAGCTAATCTTTTACATTATTGCAGAAGCTGCTCATGATCATGCATCAAATCCGGGCGAGGTCTACGATGTACAGGTACTGATGATCCTACTATGCCAACAACGAAGCACAGGACCCCCCCATACCTACCTGCTGTGGACCCGCTGGAAAGGACCTTGTGGAAACCTTCCTTGACTGCGAACCTCCCCATGAATCCCCAACAGACACTGTGTGGCATTCTGGACCCCCGTGCACCCCATCCTGGAGCGCGCTTCCTGTGGACTTCCTGTAAAACCTTCTGGCCTTTATTCCTCCCTCTGAACTTCCCCATGCGCCCCCCGAAATATGTGACAACCAAAATTTTGGACCAACCTGTACCGTCCACTCTATGGACCTTCCATGACCATTGTATAGTCCGAGTGTGGTCACTCGGCAAGTGCCGTTGTCACCTGGGTCTTCCTAACCCGCTTCTTCAGGCAATCTTCCGCCCAAGCTTTCCTGGACTGCTTATTCAGGTCGCATTCCGGTACAGTTGCCTGGCTCGTGGCCTGAATGTTGCACTGCCTGTACGGCCTGTCCTGAGCGCGTCACAGCCTCCGTCGTCAAAAATCTAGCAACCCCACTTGTCGGGCAGGGAACAATGGATCGGGGAAACACAACCGAAGAGTGTCTCTGCTTCTTTATCCCTTGCGTTCGCGATGCCCCAAGATTCATAAACAGGGGTCTTGCTCATGCGTACAGCACTGGGATCTTGGCCAAGACCGTGTCCGAGTCCAGCAGCCACCGAAGCCATCAGTCCTGGCCACAGTACTTGGAGCATCCTTGAAGAATCGATGCGCGACTTCGGAACTGGCATTGCGTGATTCCGGCAACTGGCAAAGGACTGGGGCAGGGTACCTGTTGGAAACGGGCCTGGGTGACAGACTTGTCGGCTTAATGCAAGGCTCCCAGGTTTCCCAATCCACGCCCGTAACATATCTGAATGTCCGAGTTGTTGTCAACTTCTGAAATCAACAACTGGGGCACAGCTGGGCACACGTCCTCCCAGTGCCCTTGTTTTCCGCTTAGTGTCCTGAGTTTTTGAAGCCGCCTTCCCCCAACCCCCGCCACCCGCCGGGGAATCCCCAGGGCGGACAAACAAGACATCTGGCCCCCGACAAACCTCGACACTCTTAGGGAATGAACCTCGAGAGCTTTAGCAAGCTAGGACCCTTCCATTCCAGCGACCCGAAAAGGGAGGACCCCTAAACGCCCGTGATGGGCCTTGAAGCACTTACGGGTGAGCACCAGACTTCCGGGCAAGGAGATGGCAACATCTAATATGTAACAGCCCCGTGGCGTGGAAAAACAAACGACAACATCACAACAAAAAGCTTGGTGCGGAAGGCCTAGCGGCCCTGCAACACCTTTGCCGGCCCAGCCCTCACAGACAACGATCCGAAGAAGCATGACTTGCACCGCACGTTTTGCGCGCATTTGGACTCAAGCCTTGAACTCGGCAGCTCGCTGGTCGGCTGCAGCGGCTGCCTTCCTCAGCATGCATGTATATGCATATGCATATGCATACGCATACGCATACGTATAGGTATATGTATATGTATATGTATACGGACATGTACATGTATATGTATATGCATATGCATCTGTTTATGTATATGTATATGCATATGTGTGTATATGTTTTTGTATTTGTATATGAATATACGTATATGTATATGCAAGAACAACATACCGTTCGAAGAAGCAGCACAAAGCCTATGTGCGAGAGCGAGCAGGTGAGCCTCGATCTTTTCCACCTGCTTCCTCGCTCAGTGGCAGTTTCGTCTGCTTCTGTCATTCGTCCGATAACTCGGACCTGTGATGTCACCTCGCTTCTTCGATCATTCGATCGATTTCTTAGGGGAGCCGACCTTTCCGCTCCCCGCAGACAAAGGAAGCAGAGGAAAATCACAAATAGGGTGGGAGGGTGGGAGAAGTAAATCGATGTGGCCGAGGCTTTAGCCAAAATCGGCCACGGTTATTATTTCGAAGCAAAGGAACAACGATCGAACACGTGAGAATCTCACTCGTCGTTGTTACTGCGGACAACAAGTAGTCCTACGAAACAACATACCGTTCGAAGAAGCAGCACAAAGCCTATGTGCGAGAGCGAGCAGGTGAGCCTCGGTCTTTTCCACCTGCTTCCTCGCTCAGTGGCAGTTTCGTCTGCTTCTGTCATTCGTCCGATAACTCGGACCTGTGATGTCACCTCGTTTCTTCGATCATTCGATCGATTTCTTAGGGGAGCCGGAGATGAAGTTGAGGTATTCGCCGACGCGCTTGTTGGACTTCGGGTCCGCTGCATCGAGGTCGGGTCGCTGCTCCGCATTGGTGATGGTGATGGCTGGCCGACCCTCACTGTCGACGGCCGTCCCCGTAAGCTCGGCGAGCCAGCGGCGCCCCACTTCTTCATCGGAAGCACAAGGGTGCGCCTTGCGAAAGTTGCGGAGGGACTGCCGCTCGCAAATGGAGCGAAGGGCCACGAGCTCAGATGCCTTCGTGTAAGTGTCGATGTCGAAGAGACTGGAGGTGATCCGCATCCGAAGTCCCTGTGCTGACTCGGGGTCAACTCCGGCGATCATTGTCGCTGGGTAGCCGCTCGCCGTTGCGGAAGTCCCTGCACCTGCGGAGCTGGAAGCCATCCTACTCTGAGGAAGGGAGGTTGGTCGCAAGGGGGGCTCGGGTGTGTGTTGCTAATGCAAACAGCTGCGGGATTTGGGTGTACGGACCACAAAGTCTCCGGAGAGACAGTAGGCCCCCTCTCACAACAGAAAAGAAAGTGCGACACAACAAGGGGGCCGAATTGAAAAACTTTCTAGGGCGCTCGAGAGTCGAAACTCGTATCGGTGTTTCTCTCAATGTCGCGGCGCCGGAGTTCCATGTCCGATTTGCGCGAGATATAATGTATCCCCCCCCATTCCCTTTCCATTGCCGCATCCGCCGGGTAGGCATGGTTGGGAAAACTGAACAAGGGTGCTCTCGCAGCGCCGGTTGGAAAATTATTCATGTCGGGGCTACATCCGCCGGGGCGGGTAGAGTCCCTGTCACTGCGAAAAGGGGGGGCCATGCTCATTAACTCAGTACTGGTAGCGCCATTGCAGGGGGCCGATCAATGATGAGGGTGGATATTCCTGTCGGGAAGTCGCCCTCGGAGACTGTGGTGTGAGAGATCTCGGTCGGCTCGTCCGTGTTGTTGCGCTCACCAAACCAGCGTCGGGAGCTCAGAGGTAGTCGACCTGGTCGGTGAACTCGGTGAAGGAGCTGCCGAAGGCGAAGGTCCGCATCAAGCTTCTGAAACAGTCGCCCCACGCACGTTCCAGTATCGACGGATCTCGAAGTCGGATCCCATTGAAGTGTCCGTGGAAAGTCAGCATGCAAACGCTGTCACGGGATGGAGTTCTTGCAAAACCGATTTCGCGCAAAAACCTTCGCAGAGGTCGATGTGAGCTCCAGCCACAACTTGTCCCAGTTCCTCATCGTCGCACTGTGGGTAATCCACCAACATGGATTCGGGGAGCGTCGCAGTATTGCGACGCAAATCGCCCCCTGCCACCAAGGCGTCCCAAGAATCGCATCGTGGAAACGCCAAATGGCTCAGGGCGAGGCAGATCGGAGGAAATGGGAGAAGGAGAAGTAAATCGATGTGGCCGAGGCTTGAGCCAAAATCGGCCACGGTTATTATTTCGAAGCAAAGGAACAATGATCGAATACGTGAGAATCTCACTCGTCGTTGTTACTGCGGACAACAAGTAGTCCTACGATGTAAGTGTAAATGTATACGTATATGTATTTGTATTTGTATATGTATATGTATCTGTGTGTATACTGATATATGACGTACATGTACTAATTGTATATATACATACTATATACATATATATGTATATATACATATATATTTATATATTATACATACCCGCTGCTCAACTGCTGACGCCGATTCCCAGCGTCAAAGATACACTGCTAAGCTTGCGTCTCTGCTTTTTCACTGACTCCTTTGTGGTTTTTACTCTTTGCATCTTTGCCTGCGCATGGCCGATACCAACATACTTTTGCAAGCATCACTCTGCCGGCCTGGGAAGATAAAGCATTGGAAGTCCTTGCGGCAGCCAGGACAACTTCCGTGCAGTTGGATCTTCGACGGGTAGCAATTGCCACCTAGGCTTGCACGCGCAACAGTTGTCAAACCTTTCATGACAAAGCAAGCCGTTTGAGAGGCTGGCAGAGGTCGTAGTTTGGGCAAGCAAGACATTTGAAGCCTTCATATACGCTTCATGTTTGGAGCCGACTGTCTTCATAGTGCCAGATTGAGGTGGTGGCGCGGCCCCACGATCGGATTGACGCCGCAACCCTCACACTTGATGCCAAAATGGTGCTGCCTGGACAAATTTCCAAGCATGTTGAACATGTCACTAATCACTAGGAAGTGCACAATTCTGTTCGATTGGGGCCGAAGCCATGGGGTGAGGTTGCCACTTGGCCTGGGCATCACCCTTGTGCGAAGAATTCGACAACACCGTTCTTTGAGCAAATTAGCTTTCGACGCACACTCGTCACCGGTCCAGGATCTGGTAAGGTCCTCTGTAGGCGGACCGCTCGCTGCATACATCCGGAACGGAAGCATTGCATGAGATTTGTGAAAAGTCAGAAAGAGATTTGACAGGTCCAGTCCTCCAAAAAAGGGAGCAAGCTAGCAGAAACTTGCTCGCAGAATCTGGTTTGAACCTTTGCAGACTTGTGGGATGGCACCGGGATGTGAGATGCGAGGACTCGCAGGATTGTGACCTCAAAGCTCAGCCCTCGTAGTGCTTTGAGAAGTTCGAGGATGGCTTCGCCCAGACGCCTCGTTACTATGAGACTGGCGAGCCGTGTGAATAGCCTCTGAGTGAACGAGTCGAGCGACGACCCTCCCATGCCCGTGCCCGTGGCCTCTGTCCGTTGCCACCGTTCCCGCTTCGAAGCGCCTCCAAGTGAAACCAATGCACTGACATGTAGAGACCGTCAGAGTGCCCAAGGAAACCCCCACCTCCGAGATCGGAGAAGCAAACGCCTCCAAGCCAGGAGTTTCCGAAGCTTGCTCCTGTGCAGATGTCAGGGGTCGAATTAATCTCCACGTCCACCAAGTGCCATCTCCATGAGCTGCGCTCGTCTCCTGTATTCTTTCCAAGAGCTTCTTCCAGGTCTCATTGAGCCCATCACGGGCCACATGATTGATCCTGGGCAGGCGCTTCCCACAGCAGCCTGGGCCTGGACTAAGTGTCTATGGATGTCAATGGCCTCACAACATGGAAGAAACTGAGACCCACTCTTGTCAACCTTGCGAGCCACGCGCTGGGTCAGCAAAGGAAGCCACTGCCTGGCTAAGATCATGTCTAGAGAATGTGCGCGCTCCTGTGCATTCGTGCTCCCTCGGCAAAAAATCAAGGCGCGGTGACACTGCCAGCGACGCGAACATGGCCGGAGTAAGCATCCCGGTTTCCTATGAAATTGCACAAGTCAAGAATCACATTTACTCTTCTTCTTGCTGACCTGCAGCATACGCAGCGCAGCCAGCAGGCGGCGAGGCCCACCACCATTGCCACCAGGGCCTGCGCATCAAACAGGAAATATGGTGGTTCTTTCGACAATTTGCCGATGAAGGCGACGTGATGCGCCGTGCACAGCTGCTCAAAGCCCCTTGCCCCAAGCTCCAGGACCAGCGGTGCACCCGCCAAAGCAGTCGCCAGTATCCTCTTCCATCATACTGCAACTCCACACTCTAAGGCGTCGACATGGAACTTGCCAAAAACACTATACTAACACTTTCCAACCCAGCTAGCAAGCCTGTTCAACAATCGGAAAATCATGTCCAGTGATGCATTTTGCTTTCGAGCGATGCCTCTTTGATAAAAGATCTTCGAAGCTGTCAAACTGTTCATGCAGTGATATTTGATCTGATGTTGCAAGCGACTTGTTTAAGCAGGGGGCATGGCGCCCGTACTCTTACGAAGGTAGGAGTACAGGTAAAGGGCTTGCGGATGTGAAATCCTGTGCCGCGCATGATGAACCGGACCCTTATCCACCCCATCTTGCTCGTGACATCATGCACCGCCAGCTTTCGGAATGTGGACAAGTTGTCTAACGTTTTCTGCAAGAGCTTTCTTTACAACAAGATTTGAAGGAAGCCGGTCTTTGAACAGCAGCATTGACAGCACCATCCGCTAAAACACCTCTGACCTCATGTATCCTACTAATTCCTACTGTGTCATCCTTCCACCGATCCTTTTCGTAGAGCACTCGACGAGAAAGCATTCGACATATCAGCGTGCGTCTGATCGCTCCAAACCGTTTCTGAGATTATCTATAGAGTCTACATGACTGGTGAGTCGTGATCTGATGCTCTTCCACAGAGCATGCTATGGTAACCCACTAAACAGAACATGCCGCTCTCAATTTTCTTCAATGATCCAAACATGATGAAACCCCACCCCACTCATTTGCCTGCATATTCTGAGCTTCTTCTCTCTCCACACTCTGCCAAAACATGATCTTCAGGCATGTGCATCTCCTCCTTCTCGAGTCCAGGCGGTGGTCCCTGCATCCTCGACACTGCAACTTTAGGAAGCCGAAAAACCAAACTTGAGGCTGGGGCGAAACTCAGAATGCGGCGGCGGATCGCTGAAGGATGGCTCGCCTTGCCTTTCAACGAGAGTGGAGGGCCCTAAGATTCAGCTGGGGTTTGCAGAAGGACGAGCCGCGCAACATGAGTAGCTACTTTCTCCTGACAGTCCCGGCCTGTCTGTTCCCTGACTTGATATGTCTTTCTCACAATGCTTTGGAAGGATCAGCTTTAGCCTGGCACTGTCACCACACACTGCAAAACCTCATGATACGTGAAGAAAGGAGCGAGTAGGCAAAATACTTGCGTTTCGTGTCAGACATGGAACAGCGTTTTGTACCTTCACCCCATTGCACAACACAGCCGGCCGGACTTCAGCAAGCGACTGTTCGATCCTCGCTGCCTTGCTCACTGCTTGTCATGCCCGGGACAACTAGATCACAGTCTCGCACATCCATGTCGGAGCTGTGGGATGCACTGCTCAAGAAAATCCACAAAAGTGGTTGGCGCAAGAGTACACAGATCTCCTTCTTCATCAGCCTTAGCATCACCAAGCTGCATAGCTGAAGCTGCAGGAAGCAAAAAGTTGCCAGCCCAGCGCCGCACATATTTCAGAACACAGCTTCCGCCCTCACAGAACATGCCGGTTGTCAGCTCGGGACCTTGGGACGGGGAAAGATGGAAGTCAAAAAAGTAAGCACCAGTGAGGGTACAAGTTGTATCAGGGCAGTGCGACAGCTGGCGACAACCTGCACGATGGACTCGAAGCTTGGCCTCGGGGGGCATCTCGAGAGAGGCAAATTGGGGAAATTGGGGGCGCTGGGAGAATTTCTTGAGGGGGGTTAAGAACTGCGAAGACTTTCAAGTCGGTCGGAAGGGGGCGGGTCTCAGAAAACTCGGGAAGATACCTGCAAAAGTCTGCAGATGTTCTGCTGTCAGTCATGCAATGTTATGCAGCTTGTGCCCGAAGAAGTGTCTGTACTGAACTCAACTCCTCAACGCAGGGTGGCGATGTGACAGCTTCAGAGGCACCGGCTCTTGTTGGAGTGTCAGGCGATATATCTCACCGTCGTCGCACTGAACTTTAACCACTGTCTGCGCGGAAGAGGGCAGATACGCAGCGCACAAACCGTTCTACCGATCTAACGTGGCAAAATGTGGTAATCACGCAGGCACCACCGCCATATCAGACCAGATGACGAGTTCCTTGGGAGCGCGAAATACAAGATCACGGGGCGCTCTGCCAGAGCGGGCGCCTGTGCCGCGATGCTCCTGATTTTGTTCCTAAGCCTCTGGCAACTGAGTTCGTATGATGCCATGATGCCAACAAGCTCTTTCAGGGCAACGCCTTGAGCCAAACCAATCCACCAGGACAAGTGCGTTCGGTGCTACGTGATTCACACATGAACTAAGCATGAATTCCGGACAGAAGCTTCACGCCTCAAGAACTTTATGATCACCACGTGTGTGCGTTGCCTGTGCTGAAGGACTGTGTGACAAGCAGCCAGTTGCGCCTGCCAACTCGGTCCAGCTGTTGCAGGTATGTACATGTATGAGCCTGCATTTGCAGTGCTCAAGTTGTCAAGCTTATGGTCAGGCCCCACACCCAGAATCCTGAACTGACTCAAACATGCGCATGAACATAGCAATGTGGGGACGGCCACTGAAGGCCTCTGCATAGGGATGAAGTCGCTTCCGAGGCAGCTAGGATAGGTCACACATATGCTTCAAACACTTTCAACTGCTGCCATGCAAGCGGCACGCCCTGACAGAAGCCACTTTGGTGGCACTTGCGTGAAACATCATGCTCGCATGCTTATCATGATCAGTAGTGATCATTGCTTTGTTGCTGCACGCGGCAGCTCATGTGCAATATTCTTCATGGTTTTTTCAGACTAAGCCTGGTGCAGAAAGCCTGCAGCTGTACTCAGTCGAAACATCTGGAAAGGGCCTTGGATCATTGCCACACCACACTAGGGCAGGTAAAGAAGGAGCCGTGCAACACCCACGACAACGTCAGTCTCCTCGCTGGAACCACGAGTACGTTCGAAACGGCACAATACAAGTTGTGCACCATCACCGGCCGAACATGCCACATGCGGCTTTTTGAGACTTCAATTCATCTGGCAAGTCAGTGTCGCCTTCAAGACCAGACATTTCGCAGAATCTAACACGGCTTGTTTCACATCTTCTGAAGTGCTCCCGCAAACACACATTGCTTCCGAGTTAACATGCTTGGGGATCCATCCACAGCGAGAAAAGAAGGAGATCCTCCGAGAGCTCGTGAGGATGCACCTGTGTTGTTGAGCTATGAACTCGACTCCGCTGGCAGGAGTTACTTTTAATGGCAGAGCCGGTCCACCTTCGGCGTTCCCGGGCGGGCTCGCAAAACAACAGCCCGCCCCAGCAGCCCCCCGAACAAAAGCCGAAACTTCGCCCACAGCGCTCGGCCACAGCGAGGTTGTCCGAGGGTGTTGACGCGCCTAAAGCAACAGGCAAGCCCCCTAATTAAAGCCGAAAGCTCGGCTACAGCATGTCGTATCTGTGTCGTGTGTGCGTGCGCGTGTGGACGGACGCGGGCGGACGGGCGAGGACAGCCAAGAAAAGCAAGTACCCGACATAGCGATGTGGGAAAAATCTTCCAGTGAATGTTTAGCCCACCAAAGAGACCCTCGACTGCACTCGAAACTTGACGAACAACTACGGCAAATATATTGCTATGAGTTCGTCGAGGCCTTGAAAAATATCTGGTTGACAGGAAACCATGCAACCCGTTCCCCGCAACGTTGGCAATCCCTGTTTTATGAGACAATGATCTCAGACAGACACACACGCACACCTACAATCTACAAGGCAAAGGATGTGAGAGGAACATCTGAGGGTCAGTCAAGACAGGCCGTCTGTCCGAGCAGTCGGCAACAGCCTGTTTCACATAGGCGACAGATGGCTAGAGCAACACGCAAGCAGCTTGCAGCAAGTGTAGCGACCAGCGCAGACAAGCCTGGGTTTGTCCGAAGCCCGGCACCCAGACAGCTGCTGGTGCCTCGCAAGGCTGCTTGTCTTCTTGGACCGTAGGTTCGCAGCTTTGTCTAAGGTTGCAACCACGGGAGGTGACGGCGGTTCCTTCGCAGCTCAACAAGACCTACTGCCTTTGGCCACTCGGCCGGCTGGCAATTGACTGGCATCTTCTTTAATCCATGAGCGCCAACCCCTAGCAACTTGGCCAAAGCCACGACATGTTTGTTATGCTGGGCTGCTGCTGGTAGCGAAGAATTGCTAACGAGCCGGGCAAAAAGCAAAGAGGGAGCAGGCCAGATGTGCCTCTACAGAACCCCCATTTGTCAGCAGCAACCAGTTTGGGCTCATCGAGCTGTGATCTCACCTTGTGCTGTGCATCACAGCAACACAATGCCGCTCAGAAGTGTTCGAGGAATAGGGCATCACAGCACGTGCATGAATCTGGGTTGCTTGACAGCTCGGCGTAACGGCTAAAGTGCTTGTGAAGGCTTCCGTGGGCGTGTCACAGTCCGACTAGGGCCGAGCAGAAGGCTGTCTGCAACGGCTTCTGTCTAAGCTCCACCCGACAACAAATCTTGGTTGATTTGCTGTCGAAGAAGTAGGAGACACGCTGCAACGCACTGCAACGGCCCGTCAACTAGCACGCCATCGCCCAAAGCGGACCACTTCAGCACTGGGAGCTGGATCCGATGTGCCGTGTGAATCACACGCAGTGCCGCAGTGCTCCAGTGACATCTGCGTGCGCTGCAACAGCTGTGGCAGCAAAAGCGTTCATGCCTCCACCCTGTTCGAGTCATGTGCGATGAGCGTGTGCTCCCTTGTCCTGTCCGCAGGCCTCTGTCCAGTCTGACTGGACGGTCTTCTCGTGTGGACATCTCCTTTTTCGCCGACTTCTACCACGTCTGCGCGGAGGACAAAGCTTTAGCTGCAGATCGCCGCCAGCCAACCCTACGAGATCAGGCAGAGAACCAGGGCGAAGCAAGATCGCAAGCCGAATTAGGCCAGCAAGAAAATCACATGAATTCCTGTTTCTCGCAGCCTCTGGAGCAAAACATGGCTGGCAAGATTTCGAAACCTGGTGCCTCCTGTATAGTCAAGCCGGCGACTCAAACCCCAGCCTTCGCCCTGGCTTCATCGACCCCATGATTGGCCCACAGGGGTTGCCCAGTCCTCCACCCTCTCGTTACGAGCGCTTCTTGGGAGGATCCCCCCGACCATGCCCTGCAGTGGAGCCGAGGCGGCGCGCATCGGCAACTAGCCTGAAGATTGACTACCAGGCCTTTGCCAACACTTGAGACCGCCTGAACCAAAGAAAGGAGTTCAGATGAGTTCATCCGGCCTCCTCAGATTCCGGAGGCGCCTCTGGACAATCTGAGTCCTGCTGTGAACACTGAAGCAGAGTGACGCACAAGGATCCAATTTCGGCTGTCAGGACTTCTAGGATTTCCAGAGCTCCTCAAAGTCTGCCGCTTCAGGACCTCGGTTTTCTGCAACTCTTGGCAAAGCCTTATGAGAGCCAGCTCAACGAGAACCTTGCAAAAGTCAAATCCGACATAGACGTACATAGACTAGCACTTCCTCCGGTGTGAGATTAGTTTTTTTCCAACTAGCCTCTGGTTGCTTTGGTGATTGGTACAAACGAAATACATGCACGAAGCGAAAATAGTCCGTTCAAACCCCAAGCCAAAACCCCCAATGGCCGTGCGCCCAACCGACAAGCTTCTTCACATCATGCATAGACTCGAGTCAGAACTCACTGCTTGACCCTGGTAGCAGTCCAGTGAAGCCACGCTCATCTAGACAAGCGACTGTGATGGACAATTTGGCTTTCGGAGGACCTGCTAGGAGCGATGTGGGAGTGCTGCATAAGCTTTGGCATGAATTGCCTCCAGAGCTGTGAGGATCCCCACATCCCTCCAGCTCGTGTGTCGACAAACCTAGGTCCATTTTTTTTCCAGATGTGT